CTGATTTAATTGGTTGTCACAAATGACCCGGCCTGGTCAGACGAGACAAGGCGCATCTACGCAATCGTCACGAAAAGTTAAAACCTGAATTATTCTATACCACCAACTGCAACGACAACTGAGCTTATAAAACTCGAGACAATCTAAACGAATCTCAAACAAAGGCTTCTTAAAACATCCTTTTCGTGTATGTACACTATCGAGGTCAGTTTGGGGAAGAACACTGAATTCATACACTGTGCTGTCCTGGACTTGTTTTTATTAATGACATTAAAAGTCATTCTGACCGGCACTGGTGTACGTGGTTTAATATACGGGTACATGTAAATAAATTGCATGTACTGTGTGTTCCACTGCACGTACAAAGACTACTTACATGTATGAAGTTGGAGTTGTACTTTTCTGTTGGTTTAGGCTGTCGCCTCTTGCAGGTGTTTTTTGCTAGGAAAATGTCAATGATGGGGCTGATACAGACTGTTGAAAACGTTGCCTTATGTTAATTTTGTAAATCAGTCCATGATTGTGTCACAGTCGAGTTACATATAAGTAACAGGTTAAACAAAGACAAAGGAATGCTTTTGTAACATAGTTTGTAACTTAGCTCAAGACTGGATGACTTGTGATGGAACTCAACTACAACACTGATGTCGGTTAAGAAGTAAAGCTTGCCAGGCAAACAAAATTCCCTTGTTTTACTCTGGTGGGCTGATACCACAACAGTTTCAAGGCAAGACTACAGAGGAATTTATTCACATAAAAACATTAGACATACACCATCTTCTACCTTGATCCCAGATGAAAGCCCTGACCTTTTGACCAATGAACCTTGACTGGAAACGCTCAACCAGGTTTGCACAGAAAGGGGATGAGATTAGGGTTACTGAACCACCTTAGAAGTTAGAATAGCATTTGGGGATTTGGCAAAAATATTGTTTGGAAATTGCCGTTTTGCAGTATACAAAAAAGAACACTGGGATCTCTGCATTGAAGGAAATATGCCGACAATGTCAAGTCAAGATTGGTTTGTTAGCGTTGACAAAACCAATGGACAGTACTGGATCGGTTGATTGATCAAATTTGGGTCAACTCATGCTGGAGTCAACTAGTGCCCGAGTTATCTTGTACCGAGTCAGCTCGTATCGACAGTTCAACTCTTACTGAGTTGGTAAACAGTTGATTTGTTTGACATCCGAAATACAGAGTTGTCTTGGCACGATCAGGCGTAGCGTACTGTGGGTGGGCTTGGGTACGAGTTGACTCGGGCATAATTTGACCCATTTCCGACTGATTGTGCTGCATACCCTCATAGAACTACGGTATGGAACTCAGCTCCTCTTGAAGAGGAGCCCCATATCAGCCATTGGATACTAGTGCATGTGAGTGCGTTGTCGCACAGTAAACCCTTCCTGTTGAGCGGCTTTGTGCACCTAACGGCTGTTGCTTGTCTTCCTTCAATTTGGGCATAAATAATGAGGAGCCCTGTGATTGGTCAGTATGACTCCCAGTGTGCTGCAGCCAACTGGCATTTCAACCAGCGCGGCTAAGAATTGCACACACGTACGGAAAGTGGCTGTACCCAATTTCCATGTCTTGTGTATTGATCGCAGCCATAGTCAACCATTTGGTCGTGGCTCGTCTTCGCAAGTACACATGTGAACTGCATGACTCTCAGTCACTGATCAGGAAATATTTGCAACTTTTTTTGAAACGGCATTGTTTTGTCCCTTTTCTGTCTTGGTACTCAAAACAAAGGTATGTAAGCTACCTTACATAAAACTCTTGGGGGAAATGAAGCAACATGTCTAAGGGTACACAACTCGAATGGAACCACTGTTCATGCCCTGTCAAACTTCATGCAAAGCCTATGGCAGAAAAGGCTCTTTTTCTGTGGGGTTCGTGGGAGAGGAGCCGAAGTTAGACCCCACAGTTATGGGGGTAATCGATAGGTCCATATATGCAACTCCGATCAATCAACCAATTGGACAAATTTTACCATCATGGTAATGTAGGGCCTATACTGTACATGTATGTACATGTACGTGATGTAAACACAAGCTCACAAGCTTCAACTGCATCACGCATGTCTATACTATCCTAGTATTAACATGGCCAGGCTAGCTATAATGTGTTTACCTTTATCCGTGGCATTCGGCGGTGCAAGGTACATGTAAACCCATGACAGGACGCCTGGCCCACAATGTACTAGTCCACAATACATTTACATCATACGAATTTAAATTTGTAAACAAAACAATGAACTGTGTGTGTTAATGTTTAGAATTTAGCCGAGGCTACGCCTATTTATACTCACATTAAATATTGTGAAAGTTTTGGATTCTTTTCTGCATACAGGTTCCCAGAGGCCCATAAGAACCTCAACTTCAGCTTTTTGTCGCTGTCCTTCAGCAGCTCACGATCCTGAACTGACATTTTTCAATTCAATTATAGATGCATTTGAGGTTCACCTCTTCTCCTTGCACACGTGCATACAGCACAAAATTTCCATGTGAAATTGCTCCTCTTTCAAAATGTCTTTTGTGTGAATAAGTATGTTAATGAAATTTATAGTGCAGTAATTCAAGGGTGAAATAAAATAAAAATTAAAAAATTGAAACTACAATTCTTTTGTTGGGGACACTTCAAATTTTGTAGTAAATACAAATTTCTTTAATGTGCAGATTGTGAAAGATTGCAAACAAATGAATGTTTCAAAATGGCGGCGCCCATGCTATTCACGATTTTTCTCGGCGTTGCCGTTAGAATTGTTCTCTTTAACTCTTCCTTGGCTTCGTGGCTAGCAGAAAGAGTAGAAATATCGACGCCTTTAACATCGTGGAAATCAGGTGAGCTAGACTAAATGGTATGATTTAAATTTAAAAAATATAAAACTGCTATTTGTGCAGTGCCACTGCCTCATGCTGGTACCATAGTATTAGTACACTGGTCATGCTGGTACACTGGTACCATGTGTGTTATCATGCCATGGTTAACCCATATGACCCACAGAACTGTGGGGTCCGACGTCCACCCCGCTCCCATGGGGTAATCATGGTTATGGAAGTCATGTTTTAAATTTTTTGTCTAGGTATCTTTTATGTTGAGGGATTTATTGTATATTTGGGGACAGCCTGGTTTTTTGTCATTTTATTCTTGCAAAACTGGTCATGGTAGGGCAACCTTGTCCAAATGTTTACCATGTTTAAAAAGGTAATTTGTAGGGTCCTTTTAATTGGGACTAGTTGTTTGTTATGTGCTTGTCATGTTTTAAGTTGTACTTGATCATCGATAAAGTTGATTTTGAAACCATTGTTTCAACATTAATTTGCAATGGAAATCTTGATATAAGTTGCATGGACTGGAAGCTGGGTTAATTAAGTTGATAAAAAAGAGTATAAAGTGTGTAACTGGCTGTTCTATTGTGTGTGTCTATCTACAGTGATAGAAGGAATTACTCTTCTGCAGAATGGCATCTCTCCCTATGCAGGTGATGTATTTCATGAGGTGAGGACTAACTTCATTAACTAACGTTAGTCTAACTAAGGGACTATTATCACTGGATCATGTTTTCTCAACCAGTTGACACCTTCTTTGTGACATCTCATTTTTCCAGCACTCATTTTTCAGTGGCAATAAGACATGTCAGATATGACAATTCTGGGCACTGACAGAAATTTGGGGTCTGTGTTTTCTAGACACCTTTTGTACTGTACTTCTTCCACCACCTGTTGTCAGCGAGCCCGCGGCTGGTACCTGTCGTCTTTGTTCTACTGGACCTCATTACTGCCTGGCTGCTTTATGCTGGCGCAGGTCACTGCCTGAAGTATCTTGTAAGTTTGCTTGTTGTGAAGTAAAGATGACTGAGATTTCTTACAGGACCGATCGATAGCACCGTACAATAGACCCGTAATGTAGATTGGAATATTGTACCCAGCGCATACAAATGACAACTTACATTACAGGAAAAGAGTTCCTTTGTATTACTTACTTTCTTGTAATGCGTTATATTTCAATTTGGGTATTTCTTGACATTAGAATTGTTCATGAAACTTTTACCGTCAAATTTATCTCAAGCGGCTGCACCGTGCACTGAGAAATTTAACAAATTACTAGTAATTTGATTACTTAGTACCTACGGTATTCATTGTTTGCAGCTTTTAACTCAGTCAAAGGAGAGTGGGATGTTCTCTAAGGATGCAGACAGGCTGCTCATAAAGAAATCAGATATATACAACTTGCCTAGGCTCGTAGCTTCAATGTGAGTATTTGTAACTGGAATTCCTATCCCTTAGCCCTAGGCATTAATTGTGTACTTCAGTGGTTCTATAGCATTTATATTGTGGCATTTTTTGTGGGTTTGTTTGAATAAGTATCGTTTTGACACTGGTTATTCGTCATCTTGCATATGTTGGATTATTTTATTTCTAGTTACTTGTTGAATCCATACACCGTAGTCACCTGCGTGGGTCAGTCAACCCTTGTCATGACTCACCTAGCAGTCGCTGCAGTCTTTCTGTTTACGACCAGAGGTAGGGCAAACTTTGGACAAGGTCTTTGACCCCCCTCAATGGAGGTGAAAAGTTAAACAAAGACAGCAAATGTACTTGAATGCCTTACGTCAACGCCGACAGGATTGGTCTTTTTTTTTCACCGATTAAAATTACTACAGCGCACCACAACTACGCGATTCAATAGATCTTTAACATAATGGCATGGTGCTTTGTTTACATGTGCGCTTTCCCTTGGCAGTGAGGTGGGACCCAATCCAAGCCCTCACAGGAGAGAGCGCACCTGTGAACAAAGTGTGACATTATTAATTTTCAGGTCAATTGTCAATGAATATTTCAATAGAGGCACACCATTGACCTTCAAATGCCCTGTTTAATATTAAGCTTTGGCCTGTCCCAAGGACATACACTGACCACAGCATACATGGACAGACCACAGATAAGATAATCTGAATACTTGATGTGGTCCGTGCACATGTATCAGGTTAATGTTAAGGGTTAAATATATGCACAAACTGAAGAGTGCCAAGTATTGAAGTAAAAAAGCCTTTAAACATCTGATGAAGCATATTTCATTTTTGTACTCATGTTCAGGGTACAGACTCGCAGCCGCATTTGCCTTAGCGGCAGCAACGTACCAATCTTTGTACCCAGCCATGATGGTCGTGCCTTGTGCAATGCATCTGGTCAACTTGAAGGTAAATGACCGCAGCTAGCAATCGTGGGTCAGTGATGTAGTCCAGTCCGTTGCAAGCTCTATCACAAGTCCGTTCACAAGGAGCAGGATGAACAAAGACACAGGAGTACTTTTGCCATGGTTTCCTTTGAATAGCTTGGGACTTGACTCAAGAATAAATGGCTCATAACACACCTGTGGGGACATACAATGAACTCGGCTACAACACTGCCACATATTTTTCAGAACCTTACATCCATTTTCCTTTCCCCTCTTCTTCCATTTTCTTCATACACACGTAGCTTCTCAAAGTTGGATGTCGTCTTATAAGGGTGAAATTTATTTTCAAAAAATGCGATAACAGATCAGTTCATGATTATGCAAACTGCCACGGGCAAATTAACAATCGCATCCCAAGGGAATCATAACCTTGCTGAGCAGGTGTAACTGTCATTAGTTACGTGTAATATTTCATTCTCTGCTAGGCACAGGCCAGATCCTCCACCGTGTCCTACCTCAGCCCTCCCTCTGTTAAGTCTTACCTGACCACCGCTGTGATGTTTCTGTTCTGGCTGGGCTGCCTGCATGGACTCTCCTTCCTCATGTTGGAGTCTTGGGACTTTCTCTTCTCCACCTACGGCTGCATGTTAGTACCTGTCCTTCCTTTCTCATTTGGGCATGGATTGATGGAAAAATTGTGAAATCTTAAAACTGTACTAGGACCCCCAAAAAGAAATCTTTAATCTCTGGTCAGGGCACGCATCTATTTCAAGCTTGCGTCTCAATTTTCTCTTTTCTCTTTTCTCTAATCATAATAAAGCTGGTCTAGCCCCATGACTCGATTATGTGTGTCTGCAATTATCTGCGCTTTCCAACCCTGGAGAAAGCAAAAAAGAAGCTGCGTTGCCGAATCAATTCTGGAACATCAGTCTGACCAGAGACAAACTATTTTTTTTGGGGGGGGGCCTAAGAGCCATCCAACCCAAGACAGAGAAACCATGAAGCTACCGGGTCAACCTTTTCAGTGCTGCACATGTCAAGTACACGAATAGAAAAGTCTGATACCAAAGCTCTATTTCTATACATTCTCTTCACAAGCCATGCCACCAGATCATTGTGGGGTCCATCTTTATCAAAAGTTTGACGGTGGTCAGTCTAGTCTTACGCTTTCAGTTAAATTGCTGAGTTTGACCGTATGGACCGCAAAGACCTACAGCTTTGAATCACACTGACCACAACGGAATGTTTCAATGATATAGTGTGCATTATATCTTTCTTTCTGTCAGACTGATGGTGCCAAACCTGACCCCAAACATGGGACTGTTCTGGTACTTTTTCACTGAGATGTTTGAGCATTTCCGCTACTTTTTCTTGTGGGTCTACCAGATCAATGTCTTCATCTACACGGCTCCATTAGCTATCAAACTGAGGTAAACAATGAGCAGATTTGTAGATTCTGACATGTTGAACAATCAGTAAAAGATGTGCGACTGACTGGAGAAAATGCTGCCAACTTTAGGTCTTGATATCGGAGTTGGTAGAGGAGTGAGTGGGTTTTCCAGTGACCACGGGTCACACTTCATGTTGACTCATTCATTCATTTTTCGTATTCAAACAAATCAATTTCTGGTGTGGTTAATCTACTTTTGCTTCGATTGTGCTCAGTTGAGTTTGAAATGACCAGAAATCTTGCCTAAGAGCTTTGTTTGTAATTTGCATAAAGAGCATTTTGGCTTTTATAATGTAAAAGGTTTAGTTCTTTCCAAAAGATTCCTCATATGAAATCAGAAGAGGCAGACATTGGTAAAACAATATTCAGCTAACAAAATATCTCTCATATATTTTTTGAGTTTTTGCTCCATGAAGTCTGATACTTTTTTACCCCAATCAGGAAGCACCCACTCTTCATGATGTACATCCAGTGCATCATCATGGCCATCTTCAAGTCCTACCCAGCATTTGGCGATACCTCCGTCTATCTCGCCCTGCTTCCTGTCTGGTCCCACGCCTTCTACTGTAAGTAGCGGAAGGATACAATACTCACAGTTTGGACCAGACCCAGGGACTTGAGACTCGAAGACTGGAGATCTTTCCACATGATCTTGTTGTCTTCTTTGTCATTTGATCCTCATATACTGTAGATCATTGGTTCCTTGTTCTTTTATTGTGTCCCTTTTTACAGTTCCAATGTTTGTTGCTTGACCTGTGTTATACCTCGTCGTGTCCCCCTGCCTGTTGTCTGTTTTCTGTCCGTTCAAGGCTTTTCTGATACGTTTTTTGCCGGTTTTGGAAACGTATGGCTACAGTTGACCTTGTCTTCTCTCCTTACACGATTGTGTTTATAGATAACAAGTTTCTTCGTGTTTGATAGAATGTTATTTTGATGTTATTTTATGGCAGACCAACAGTAAAATGTTTCTTTGCCATCATTGATTGGTTTGACTCTGAAACTTTTTTTTCATCAATACATGCTATTGCAAAGCTTTACATTTTATGACTAATAATTATTTTCTTTAATGTTTCAATGATAACGTATAAATTGTTGTGGCATAAGATCTGATGGTTTACTCAAGATTAAGACTCGTGAATCTGAGAGCTAAGCCAACAGAACACGTCTAATGCTTCACAGAAAGAAATGAATGAGTCAGACACATCAGTGTCGCTCTTGAACCGTCCTTTGAAGACAAAAGCCATCTTGTTCTTCCATTCTAATCTCTGTAGATCTACGTAACACCTTGGTGGTAGGCGTCATGTTTGTCCTGTCCTCCGTCTTGGCACCCATCCTCTGGCAGCTGTGGATCTACTCGGGCAGTGCCAACGCCAACTTCTTCTTTGCTTTCACACTCGTGTACAACACGGCACAAGTAAGCTCGAGTCACGGGTAGGGAGACAGGGGCTGGACCCTGTGAGACAAACCGTCAGAAGATTTTAGTGGTTTCCCCACAATTAGTCCAAAGAAGATGGTTTGCAAGGCTTTTTCTGGTAGCAGGATTAAGTCTGGATTGGGTCGATTATTTCCTTGTAAAATTTTCCAGAGTGTCCTCTGAATCCACACAAGGGACAGGATCTTGCAGTAATTCTGACAATCAAACATTTTGGCGTCAATCATTTTTTTCCAGACTTGGAGCAATGACCAATTGAGGGTCAAGTACATGTACATGTATACCAACTTTCATAGGAAGTACCATTTCCTAGTTTGGAATTTTGACTTGAGGGTCAGGGGTTCGAATCCAACTGCTGGCTATGAGTTGTGTCCATGGGCAAGCCTCTTTATCCCAGCTGCCAGTCTCCCACTGGCAAAAATAATTGGGAGGGGCATGGGAGGCATGTTTCCCAACTTGAGGCCTGTGTCTCCCTCCCACTCAGAAATTAAAGAAGGGGAAAAAAAAACTAGTCCCAGTCCACCTTGGTAAGCATTTTAACTGTGAATGAACCCATTGAGTGCCCCCCTCTAGAATATGAGGGCCCTCAAGTGCCCCCCTGCAAAATGTACCTCAGTTACGCCACTGCTGTCTCCACCTAGGAGCATAAACCGGAAATGACATAAGCTGGAGATTTACCTGGGTTAGACTTCAATCTCTTTCGGTTGGAGATGTATTCCTAGTCGTTAATATCCAGTCAACATCACCAGCCTGATCCACAATGGCTAGGAACAGATTTTTATTTCCCTTGATGCTTCTTAATTCACAGATATTTCTTGCCACCGACGTCCTGTATGCCTTCTTGAAGAGGGAATTTGCTCTCATTCATGGAATGAAGCCAGTCGACAAGGACGGAAATGCTCAGCAGGCAGTACTGCAGTAACCATAAGCCAGACAATGCCTTTGTAGATATTCTGTTGTAGATATTTCCACAAATGCACATCGAAAAAATCCAGAACTGATGGGCATTTTTTTAAATGTCGATTGAGATCCAAAACACTCTAACCATGCACTTGTTTAATACTTTTTGAATTTAAAATAACTAATTGTATTTCCATAAGTTGAGTGGGGAGTTTGTATACCAAGAAACTACAGGAAAAAAAGAATGGTCCTGAATGCATCAATCGTTTCAGTCTAAGTTCAAGATGGGACTGTTTTGAGTGTATCCTGGGAGAATCTCCCTCGAGCAGAAGCACCCCCTCATTGGATGAAAAAAGCCATGTTGGTGGGGAGTGTTGGTAGCCATGCGACACTAACACATGCTTTTTATAGTTGTCTGTGAACCAGCGAAGTGCATTTCCGACCAAAGGAGCTGCCATTTCTGGGAAAATTGCGCCCTCTCTTGGTCCAGCTTGGGGCTCGGAGATTCCCAGGTGTGCCAATGAATAATGACTGGCCGCATAATGTAAATGCATACATTTTTACTTGAGCTCAGCAGTTGTCAAGGGCTAATGGTGTTGAGACAAAGTAGATTAATCAAGTAGGAAAATGCAGTGCACATAAAAGAGCCTAGTAGTGTATACGTGTAGGAAAACCAGTCAGGAAAAGGTTACTTGCTCAACTGAAATTGCTTTAATATTAAAAGAATACTTACTTTTCAGATCCTAATTTTGTCAAATATGTCACTGGACGGAAAGTTGTCAGTAGATGGAATTTAGAAATAGGTTACTCTTTCAAAATTAAAATCAACCACACTTCTATTATTCTCAGCAACACCGTTAGACGGAAGGAGTTTGCATAGTTCTTTAGAATCATTGTTTTACAAAGAAAAGAAGTTTAAACATCGCTAACTTTGACATTACTATCAAAACCAGGCTTTAAAAATCTGAAGTGTTTAAAAACCATTTAAGTTCGGGAGGGCACGTAAGCACACAATAATTAGAGTACGTTCAGGAGATTGTCCGGGAGATTGTCCAGGAGATTGTCCGGGAGATTGTCCCGGAGATTGTCCCGGAGATTGTCCAGTAACGTCAGCACATTGTACCTCAGATTTGTGTAGAGTACCAAGACACAGCTTGTATGTGTCACAAATATCTCAAAAACTGAAACCCACTTCCACATTTCCAGATTCTTCTCTTTATTCGCCTGGAGGTTTTTAGGGGAGAGAAAATTGGAGCCAAGCCACTGTTACTTTTGCGTGGGACTTGACATGCTCCTTGAAAGTTTTGCTCAAAGACTTTGGTAGGTGTCTGGCACGATAGAGTTTGAACGGTATGAAAGACAGAATTAATCCACGGGAGGCATGGGACTGCTGGGAGGTGTACTCGTCGGTTCAAACGAGGACACTGATTCCCCGAGACCATGGCGCCGTTGATACGGGCTGGGCTGCTGTCCAAAGTCGACTGCGTTCGGCAGGAGCGTCGCGTCGTAATCCGGTGCCACCGGCGACGACACGCCATCCGTGCGAGCTTCCGGATAATGGGCCACCGTGGCCTCGTAAGACGGCGGCGGCTCCTGGGGGAGTTCGGGCGGCTTCCAGGGACTGCTGCTGTAGTCCGGCGGCTCCAGGCCGTGCGGTGGCAAGGTCGGGTCGACACGCATCCCGTTGACCAAGAACAAACCGGAGCTGCCCCGTATCGGGTAGCGGAACGAGTTCGCCGAATCTGGCCGGCTCAGAGCTCGGACCCTGTTGTTCCGATTCGCCGTCAGCGAAATCTTTTGCCGGTAGTGGAGATAGCGGACGATCATCAAAGCGCAGGAGACGATCACACTACACGCTATGATGATTCCTATGATTGAACTCATGGGCAAACTAATGGTGCCTGGTCAAAGAAGAAAGCAGAGAGTCATTCTTAAAATTTCACATCAGGTTGACACATGTCCATTAGTATAGGATACAGTGGAAGTCTGTTATAACAAGGTCCTTGAGACTTTACAAATTACCTCGTTATAATAATTACCTTGTATGATAAGAAATGGAAAAATAAAGACTTGGGACTTAAAATTGTCCTTGTTAGAAACGTGACCATGTATGAACAGTGTTCTTCTCATCCGTGTTCAACTGGATTCAACTTGGATTGTGCAGTTTCCTTCCATTGTCCATCAAGTAATATAAAATCATTTATTAAACCAAGTGGAAAGGAGACTACACTGCGTCATGTTTTGGTTCACTGTTGTTAAAATTGACCTAAAGAACGTAGCAGAGAACAGTAGAGTGCTGTAGGACTAATGTAATACTCAGCTACTCTGTCACAAATTGTGAATGGTTATAAAAAAATCGATTACCGATAATGCTTCCATGGCATTGAGGATAATTGAGACGTGCTCTTTGGGGTACCGCGTCTTTTTTTGAAACGGGTGAAGACGGAGGCATTTATTCGGTCTTTTTGTAAGCAGTTTCACGTCATTGTTTTTAATATATCGATTCTTTTTTTGAGCAAGGAAGACGACAGGCGAGGAAGAAGATTGAACAGTGGTCTTCGATGTTTGTAGGTATAGGCCACAAATTGAAAAGTTCGAGAAATACGCTGTTCTTGCTCTTACCTGTTGATGGAGGCGCCGGATCGGGGCTTTCATCGGCACATCTCAGCGTCACATCTTCCGAGTGGACACAGTTATGTTCTCCCCACCCGTTGTGCGAACAGTACGTGAGACGGGACTCGCGACCCGTGCAGTGGACGTTGTCTAGGTGAATGGTACCCGTGTGTCTGCCGTAATCTGCAGTAGAAGGATGGGTAAAGCGGTACAGTCACTGTCGGTATGATGATCCGCCTATCTGATGAGGCGGCAAATTAATGCCAATGTTGCTGTACTCGGGAAGACAGAAATCGTTTGAAAGTAATGTACTTGGTTTTACTCAAATTCTTTAGCTTGTGTTAGCGACTATGAAGCCTTTTTATGTTGAATTTTGCATTTTGCCCTTCAAAGACGTGCTTATAATTTCGTACTAAGTCTTAACACGTCACCGAAGAAAGTTTTTTCAACCGTCAAATATCCATTCTCTAGCCCCAATGACTGATGTCCTTTCCTTTCTCTAGCCTCAATGACTGACAGAATTCACTCTGTATTGTGATCATACTTACCAGTGTGGTCCAACGCAAATTCAACCCCGTTGTACCCCAACTCCCTGCAGGCTACCGTGGCTGCATTCTCTGTCCAATCGTCGTCACACACGGTGCCCCAGACACCGAGATGGTAGATCTCTAGCCGGCCGGCCGATGCCGTGCTGCCCCCGGTAAGGCGGAGGTCTCCGTCCGCTATTGGCAGAAAAAAAGTACGGTGTCCCAAGAGATTTATCTTACGATACTCTGATTCAAACGTCAAATTTTGCATATGATACAATTTAATGAAATGTCTTGAAGGTTTACCTTCAGTTATTAATTTTGTTTGTTTGTTTGTTCGTTTACAGATGAGCTAGTTTTCAGATCAAAGTCAGTGCGAACTGGCAGCCTATCAAAATCGTTGAAGGTGCCGCGAAAGGATTCGAACAATCAGGTTATTAGACGCGTAATTTCCAGCGCGGATGAGCCGAAATGCACGGTGGAAAAACCTACATCGTGCAGCAAAGACACTTTCATAATATTATCGACCAAGCTAAAGTCAGACAGTGTTAATTTGACTGTAGTCAAATCAATCAAACTCCCGAAATCTCCCCAAATGCTTCAGTATATGGTACAACTTTTAAGGAGATGCAAGTTCATTAAAAAGTAGTAAAGACTGGGTTTTGCTTTCCCTAAAAAATCCGCCAAAGTTCGCAGGGAACATTTTTCTCAAATGTTTTACGATCAGAGTTCTCTACGTAGATTTCACCTGGTGTGTCTTCGGAAATGCAGACTACGCCTGCGTCGCAGTCCTGACTGCTGCACTTGTCGTCCAACCAGCTGTCTCGGGCGCACTGGGCTAGATTAGTCTCAATGCCCTGACATCTTAGTCCTGATAAGTACATGGGGCTGGTCAAGTCCGCACCAAACAAAGTCTTGGCGTCGGTGGCCACCTGCAATAGAAACATATTTTGATGGGTTGTTATTTTTTTTGAATTAATGGAACGCATGCACACTGCAAAATCTCTGGTGTCAAAATCAACACTTTTTGATGTTATCAGATGACCACACCATAAGGTGTTACTTTAACACCACTGGTGTTATTAGGGACACCTGTAAGTGTTACAGTGCTCTGGAATGTGTTAAACGTAACACCAAATAACACCAAAACGTAGAACACCAGTGAAAAGTGTTGATGTAGTCCTGTGATAACACCCGGGGTGTTAAATTTAACACTCCAGTGTTTGCAGTGTATGTGGATGTTGACAAAGAAGCAGAGAGAGGTCTGACGAAACGTTCTAGCATGTTGTTAGAATGTCCAGCGACTTGTTCCAAGGCTACACCTAATCGTCAAACACGAAACCGCGACAGTTTCCATCCTGTAGCTTTGTCATGCAACAGGCACTTATCAACTTTCCCCTTCTGGTAAAGTTTCTACCGCTTTCATCGCCATACCTGTACACCATCGAAGCCAAGCTGTCCACACGCCACGTTGGCCTCGGCCAGCCCCCAGTGGTCGCTACATATCGTGCCCCACGCCCCACTGTAGAAGACCTGAACACGCCCCTCGTAGGAGTTGGAGCTGCCTTCTAAACGGATGGTGACTGCATCTATCGGGAACGAGAAAAGAGGGCAGATCAAAGAACAGTTTAATAAATTCTGGAAAGTCTCAAGTTGGTTATCAACTGTGACTTTTATGATTAAGCTTCGAAGTTTGTGAATTCAAAAATATTTCTATTGTCTGTTTTGCTCATGTGACCAAAACAACCCCGATGGTTTATATATACCTGTCGGTTCATAGGCCTGGCAGACGACACCCGCAGCGGTGTCTCTGAGCGGACAGCCAGAGATCACTCCCCACCCGTCGAATGAACACTTAGCTAGGCTCTCCTCCTCGCCGTCACACGCAACCCGGTCCATCCAGTAGAGACCGCCGCCTGGAGGGAAACTAGTCCCACCCGTGGCGTTCTTGGCCGTACCGTAGCCGAGTTGCCGGCACGCCACGTACGCGTCGTCCATGCCCCACCCGGAGTCGCAGATTCGACCCCACGTGTCGTTCCGGTAAATCTCCACTCGCCCTTGATAGACTGTCGACCCGTTGACCAATCTGATTGAATTCTGGTCTGTATAATAGAGGATAAATTGTAGTCATTATTTATTTAGTCAAACTGAACTTCGATCCAAAAGGGTCGTGCGTCCAATAGAACAATTAATGAGAAAGGTTGAAATTATAACAATCAAGTGTAAGCACGGGAACAGGTCAACTCGTACTTCATTGGATTGCATATCTAAAGACTCCAATGGAATGAATTAATTTCACATGTATGTTTTTCAAAACTTTCCGTTTGAAATCATGATTAAAATAACCTTTTAAGTGTAAAAAGTCCACTTTGGTTTTGGACACTGTCTTGTTCATATCATCCATTTTGTCTTTCTGACATAATTTTTTTTCTATGTAGCAAAGCAAGTAATTCGGTTGTTGCCTCACTTTATCGGGGACTGGTCCCCATATCCAGTAACTGCTACTTTATGAACATCACAAATATTTGTTACCTGTGTTGATTTCTCCCGAAATCAATCCAGAAGCCCAAGCGATTGATAGAGTAACAAACGCCCCCAGTCTCAGGCCACGCGTATTCGACATCATCAAACCCATGATGGCTAGCAACTTACGGCGAGTGTCCATACAGAGCTAAGTCCAGACTGTCGTTTGCACCATTTCGTGAACTACAGTGGTCCAGCTATCCGCCTGTTGTTATGCACCTCCATAATCATGTATGATTAAGATCGACGGTCACTGCTTAGTAGGCCTACCCAACGAGAAAAGGACCACGCAGAGTTATGTTGAAAAAAATCCTGTATATCACATCCTGTCGATCAACTTTCACGTGCAACTGCGATTTTGAAGTTGAAGTCATTCAGAAGGGGATCTTCCTAGCTGTTTTCGATTGACACGAAGTCTTTCAGATGCTAGTTCCGTAATGGAGGAAGGCCTTGAACAATGATCTCATGTGTGTAATGATGTCGTAAAACATCCGGCCAAACCGCCAGATCCAGCTGATGCCAAGTTGTAGAGAAGATTTAGATGCGCTGTTTGTTTGGCGTTGTAAATGGTGTTTTCGTCCAGCATCAAATCCTTTGTCACTTTTAGTGCAGGAGAGGTTACCTGCCCAAGAGACTTCCTAGAAATTCTCGTATGGTCGCTTTCGACATCAGCTTTAGCATAGAAGATGAACTGTCTGGATTTTTGAAGCCTGCTGACGTGTAGTTTGACTGTGTAGTTGACAAACCGGATCGATACATCTATCATGGCCGCCCGGCCTTGAGAGTTGTGTTCGAGCGATTCGCTTGAGTGAGCCTTTTGTGACAAGCCTGCCATTCCAGGCGACCAGGTAAACACGGATGGTGTTTAGTGGCTGGTTCAATATTTGCTTAGGCCTAAAGCCTTGGCACCAAGCCATGGGGACAGTTTGCGCAGATTTCAGGACACAAATACTGTTTTGTATAAGATCTTACAGGGAGTTGTTTTCATAATGAATGTTTCCACAAAGGATAAATTCAGTCGGTATTTTATCTGGCTTTAAGTTAACGAAGTTGTAGATCACAACGCTTATTTTCACTGTGAATGTTTTTTGTCTGTGGGGATACAAGATGGGGAAGGCTACTAATTATCCGTCGTGTTTTCCTTGAAGCCTCGTAATTTGCTGACTCATTGCTGAAGTTTACAACAAAGAGAAAAAAAAACAAGAAAAGGCCGTCTGCATATGGTTTGGATCATCTTGTAAATCACTGGCACCAAATCCCTAACGTTTGAGTTCTGAAAAGAATGACTGAGATCGTGAACACTTGATGACAAAATATTGTTGTTATGAGCGAATTCTTAGGGTCTTAAGCGTCTCAGTCCTTTTATTGCAAGGCTCTGATTAGAACAAATTCGGCTGTCCGAGCGGCCTTGTTTTAATGAGAGTTGACTGCCACGTCCGCACGCAGTATGAAGTAGGAGGCGCTCGAGAGCACGTGTTCCAGCTTGAAAATCAGGCCGTATTACTTGGGAATGACATAGGTTCCGTTGCCATGGCAACCGACCGACCCCTCTCTCATCCATGGAGCGCAAAACCGCGCCGGGCGCATCGCGTATGCGCGATAACCATAGTTGTGTCTCATCTCCCGCGTGCCTGGCTTTTTTATTTATGCATTTTTCAGTGATATTTTGTGGTCTAGTTTCATCGGATGGTCGTTTTAATACTCAAATAATTCAGTCTCTTCTTACTTGTGGTATTATTAACAAACCGACTGCATGATAGGAGTGGTGATTGCTGACATTTTAATGTCCAGTTCATGATATTAACAGTAGCGCATTACAAATTAAGTTTTTAAAAATGGCTATGGGTTAAACAGTTTTTAACCACACCCACGAAGTTTTTACACTTTGACTTAAATCCTGTAATAATTTTACCTTCCAAAGTTAAATACACTGATAAATCCAAGGTCAAGAACATCATTAACTTCATCGAACATAAATACAAAATCCAACTTTTCACGATGGGGGTTTTCACAGGTTATGATTGTAGTGCTGTAAAAAATTTGCAACTGTATAACAAATGTTCTCTAAGGAATACAACAGTGAAGCTGCATAATTGGTGTAAAACGCGTATCTTAATGTGCTTGGGAAGAGATATTGGTCTCATCAACCTTGAAGGCTTCAATTCGATAGATGTTTTCCTGTTTGATTCGTGATATGTACATTCGTGAATGTAGAATTGACATTTTGAAACTACTGTGTTTAACACGGCTGATGATAAAATCGTTTTCCAAATTTTGGCTTCGTAACCGGTTTGGTTTCAGAAGAGACCCATGTTCCTCAACACAAATTAATGTCCCGTTCTGTAAATGCGGCCTGAATTTTTATTAGTGCAGATAATTATGATACTGAAGCTGGACTCGGAGTTAATTTGGAAAATCAGCCTCTAATCGTGTTGGATATTAGCCGATATCAGATCTAGCATCCCGTACGTGTCTTGTATCTTCCCAGGCAGGCGCCGTACGTCATCAGCGTGTTGATGTAGCTCTGTTCGTGAACACCTTGGGCCAGGTGAGCGTGCGGACCGCTGGCGAAAATCTGCACGTCCTCCCCACCGTTTGTCTCTTCAGCTAAGGGGACCAGAGACTGGGCCTGGTAGTCCAGATCCTCTGCTCAGAAAGAGAGGGAAAAAAATCGACATGATTGCTCAGCTTTGGTGCGGGATTACTTCAACTCCTCGTCACCTCTACAAAATGAATCTTTGCTGCAAGATCGCGAGTGGTTTTGATTTCCATATGCAGCTGCTGCAGCAGGATATTTTAATTAAAAGTGCGCAAGATATTACTTGCTGTCTGTGGCTTATACTGATTAAACGCTTCCTTTGGAAAGTTTTACCTTCTTTTTGTTACAACTCGCGTGAAACAGGCCTCTTGCCTGCGATCGATCTTCCTGTTTTTCTTGTGGTTTTATAGCACTTTGTTGAGTTGTTTTGTTTGTCTTGTCTTTTGTTGTTGATAGCGTTCTGTTGTTCTTTTTTGTTTGTTTTGTTATTTTTTGTTATTGTTTAGTTTGGTTTGGTTTAAGGCTTTTCAAACTTGGACTGGGAAGAAACAGCTTCTAAAAAGTTTCCAGCAGTCTATCTATTCTTTCCAATCAAAACCTCACCTGTGTCAATGTCATCGATGATGGGTCGACCACCTTTTTCTACGAAGCTTTTTTGTACTTCTACGGCTGACGGGCCATTCGCGTATCCGAACGTAGTGTACGATCTGCCGTCACTGAGCTGCGCAAACTCTTCTTTTGCGTACACCTTCCCTGTTGGTGAAGGACAGCAATCTTACATCTATTCTCAAATGCTACAGGAGGCGTTACTCATAATGAGGCCAGAATAAACGGGGACATTTCCATCAGCGACGAAGATTTTTTTAGCTCACTGGACGAGCGACAGTGTTCTTATTGGTGGCAACCATTGCTTTTACTATACGACAGCAGTGCAAGCGAAAAAGTTGCTTTTGCGGAAGTCTGCTCTTTTTACACATAACAGCCAGTCCTTAAGTAAAATCAACGTGACTTCAAAACTGCTTCGAGGAGGTAGGCCCACATTCGCCCATAGCTGAGGATCCTTTTGTCCGGGGAGATCTCACAGTACAAAGTTGCTTTTAGCCGACTTTAAAACAACAACAGCGCCACCATGCTTTAAAAAGTGGAGAAGACGCCACGCTGGATGGTACACAAATTTACCTGGCGACTTTTGCAGTCGAGATCAAGGGTCCTTACCCAGAACGTTTTGACCTCTGCAGGGGTACCCAGCCATGGTCATGGTATGGCCATGGTCGGCTGTGACAATGACCATGGTGTCCAGGTCGCTTGTCATAGACACGACCTTCTCGACGGCCTTGTCCATAGCAAGGGTTTCATGAAGAGCACGCCCCACTTTGTTCTGGCGATGACCGGTGTCGATATGCGCTCCTGGTGGTAGGTGAAAGAACTAGTACTTTTAGTTTAACCCTCTTCAGTTTGACTTAAAATTTGAAAGCATTTGCTTGCGCAAAGGTACCAGGAATTCTTTCCAAAGTAAAAGTGACTTATGTAAATGAAACGAAATGCTATTACAAAGACCCTATGTACATAATTTATACTTTGGTTATAATTTATGTATTATTTTAAATTATAGTGGTAAAATGTCTTGCCTGGGGACATGCGGTGATAAAATCAACCCACACAATTAGATTAGATCCTGACCTCAGAGAAACAGATCACAGGGCCGTTTACATGCACGCTACAGGCTCAAACTTTACTTATGTTGCCCAGAAACCCACCACACTCCCCGTGACTGTTTGGATAGGAAATTCTAAAATGTGTACAAACCTTCTACCAGAAGGAGGTAGTTTTGATTTTTGTTTTGGAGTAGCTGGAGTGCTTTTTCCACCATCTCGGAGAGGCTGGGTTCTTTCACCGACCGGCCCTCGTTGTAAGACATGTCTAGCCTGCTGAAAAGCCCTATGAGAAAGACCAGAGTTTGGTTCTTTCAACCACAGTGGCAACCTTAATAAGGGCGTTTCACAATAGTGCGCCTCCAAGAGTTTGCAACGCGTTGACCAATCACAATGTGCGAAATCTGGCGACCCAGATGCGCGTTTGGAAAGGGTCGACAGATTTCGCGCGTTGTGATTGGTCAAGGCATTGCAAACTCTTTGAGCGCACTATTGTGAATCGCCCGTATTGGAACTCGTTACTGAGACTGGCACGAGCATTGTAGAGAGGTGGCACGTGCGCGTTACATGCCGACTCAACCAATAGGGTATTGTGACTTGCCGAATACACACGCGCGTCTAGTTTAAGCAATCGCGCGTGAGCCTCATGCCACCATTGATCTCCAATGGATGCCACCCATCCTCGACTCCATGGGCTGCATGCACGTTCCTTCACTAAGATCGTGCAAGGCATGGTGGGAACCAACATGGTGCGGCAAGATCATACCCATGGGAACGAGGTTAAGTGCTACCGTCTCATAGGGTTAGTCTACATCACAGCCGTTCCGTTTATTTCTATTCAGTTCTGTGTCCCTTCTTACCGAGCACGTAATCAGTGGATGTACTGAGAGACTGCAGGGCTGCCTTGTCGGTGACGTAAGCCATACTCCCTAGTTTGCCGTACTTTGTCTTCCAAGCCTCGATGAGGTCAGCATCTCTGCGACCTCCTGTGACGCCAGAGTCGGCCGGGTCTGGCTGGTCATCCATCATGAAGTAATACCTACCACCTCCCAGAGCAACCTTGCGGGAAACATACGATTGGTCATTACTCAAGATAGAATGAAACAGATCTTCTTCCCAAAGCTGCTGCTAGATTAAAGCTGAGATGTATCTGTAATGGATGAATGGATTAGCTGAAATGACACGTTGTTTCACACAGTGCAGTTTCTGAAAAGGTGACGTACTTCCGTGTCTACTCAAAGGGTAGATACCGGCAGGAACTCAACGCCCTCCGACCACAACCATCAACATCGAAATGAATCGTGCTTTTCTCAAGACGACCAGCTTAACGTGTGCACGTGCTTAATTTCGCGAGTGCCGATTTTTTCAAATAATTTTTTGGGGTTTCTAGTAATTCACACATCGATGGAGTGAAGTTGGCGTCCTTTAAATTTTCATCCAAAATTTACCCCTCTCAAAATTGATTTATGAAATGTACCGGTAGGTCTACTGTAAAATTCACCACGCAAGTTTTAATACATTTACGATCAAGTAATAGGCCTACCTAACTTTACAGACCATAGGAAACACTTCCTTCTAACTTTAATTTGCCACTCTTTATGTAGAACGCGAGTCGGAGTTGTCTTACGTCAATTTCTACGCCATCACCCACGAACTGTTTGGCGATGTCGTCCACGGCACAACCAGTGGGCGATTCTAGTTTCCATTCGGCGTTGGGGCTGTGAGCGTAGGCGGCCGCTGGCGTGTTGCCCACTATGGCGTCAGTTGTCACAATACCGGTGCTCCAACCTTTAATGCACAAAATCCCATTTTAGGAAAATTTAACATCTCTCTTTGTCCAGCATTGATTCTTCCACGCTCTGTGGTGGGGGAGGTATGTGTTGTTTTTTATCGTGAATTTGCATCAGCAGTTTGCACGGCAACATTGGTAGGGTGTCAAGCACTGCACCTTAATGGAAATCTATTCCAAATGAACGGATTTTCTCTGATAGCATTCCTTTGAAGGGTTTAGTTTTGGCAGAAGACAAGCCCACCTGCTTCTTTTGCTTCGGTGAGGATGGACTTGACTTCATTGCCTGCTGCCGAGGAGCAGTCCCCGGGCACCGCAGCGCCGCTCAGACCTAACCACCCGGCTCTTCGTTTTCACGCCGGTCAAGATGGCCGTTGCCGTGCTGGCACAGTCCGGCACTTGCATGTCCACGTTGTAGGTCTTTTGGGAAAAGAGATTTCACATTATCACCTTAGGTTGGAAATAATTTGTATAAATTTGTAGAGTACAAGTTTAAAGCAGGGGTTTATGTCTTCCCGTTTGGAGAGAAATGGCATCTGGTGCCACGAAGACTTAATTCACGGGTGGAAATTTTAAGTGGAACCCCAAAGCTGTACTGATCGATGAGTTCTATGAATAAGCAGAAATTACAGAATGTGAGTATTTGACACGGATTTTTGCAAAAAGTGCCAGAAATGTACAAGTTTTTGCAAATGGACTAGTAATAGAATCCGAGTCCTGTTGGAAATGTTTGGACATCTCCAGCAAATCCTAAGATTTTTTGTCAAAATAGCAAGCTTACATTCTACTGTCTAACTTCATTACTTGTAACTCATAATCCAACGTGTTTGTCCACAATGAGCCTCGAACTGCACCTGTCAACGTAGCAACTTTCTTAGCTCCTTTGCTTGGAACTGTACTAAACTGAACTTCACTGGTACACGAACGGATACGAAATGCACGCTTTCGCATCGCTACAAAGAACATGAACATAATAGCTCTTTTCAACCGATGAGGGGGTGCTTCTGTTCACGGAAGATAGTGTTTCCGTATTTTCTTCAACAAAGCATGTGCTTTAAAGAACGCCAGTCTCGCTGTGTCCTCTATCACACATGAATGCATTATAAAATCTGCTCTCAAATCCCAAAATCTGACCTTAGACATTCCGACGTATGGGAACTTCTCAAAGGACAGGAAGCCCTCTTCCCCGGGCATATCGTTCTTCTGCCCCTTCAGGATCCTGGCTCCGACTGCGGTCGGTATGCTCATGCCGTCCCCGATGAACAGGACGATGCTCTTGGCTGTGTTTTTGTTCAGGTTTTCCCCAAGCTTGATGGCATTCTTCATGGTTTCCCTGGCCTGCTTCCTCCAGTAGTCTGGCTTGGCAGCTGTGTTTGGATGGTGGAGAATTTAGCGATTTAGTTCTCCTTTAGCTTGAGACGGATTCTGTTCTTATCACGAAACAACGCACATCGTCAGTCAGTGGGACGAAGTTATTTTTGCTGTTTTCATTTCTTTTTAATACTTATAAGTGCTTTTTATTTCTTCAAATCAATTTGTAGGACATGTAAGAAAATAAAAATGCTTTAAGAAGACCTTCTAACAAGGTTCTCGGAGTCCAGCAAACAGAAAGTTACAGTTTGTAAGGTCAACTTTTGTGTGCTATATTTAGATGTCCACGTTTATTTCAAATAGTTCCGTACCGTCGTAGACACAGGTTGAGTTCTCTGTAATTTTGAACGGTGGACTCAATTTTATCCACCAAGAATTGAACTTCAGATTTTATTGATTCAAAAAATCCCTTTCCTTAGAAGTGAGAATTACCACTCCTCGAAAAGGGTATTCTCTCACAAAGGCAGGAGCCTTGTATGGGAATGTGATTTTATCAATCGTAATTGCAGCAAGCGATTACTGGTTCATCATAACCACCTTAAGATGACTAGTTTCAAGGCAGGAAACACACCTAGCATTCTAGAGATATGAAAAGGGGGCACACGACGTCTGGATATGATAGTTAAAGAATTGAATTCGGGTATCCCCCATGATGTTATCTTACCTTCAACTGCTACGTCCTTAAGGTTTTTCTCAAACGCTGGTGTACGTGGTTTGTTAATGTTTACGTCACATGTGCCGGAGTCTTTGTTCACATGCAAGCACCAAGAAAGAAAGAAAACATTTTATTTGTAGATCTGGGCTGAAAACCTTCCTTTGACAAAAACCAATCGAGAAATATTTATGCAATTACAGGTTTTTCGACAGGCTGAGCAAAATTCGACTACATACAAATTTAAAAATGTAGTCCATTTGTTTTCCAAAATGGCTTTAAAATCATGAACTGTACCTTTACCAACGTGTAGAGAGGGCTCTTTTCAAATTAATTGGATCAGTGAGACCGGGGAAAAAGTCAGAATTTGTAAAGTGATGCGCCGATGAATGAACACTGTCCAACTAAGCTCGCGCATCTTTCTAAACTGTGCTACCAGTTATGTAAATGTACTTCATACGTGGTAAAACATCATTTAGGAAAAAAAGAGTAATAAACGGTTCATTTGAACCTAGCCTACCTGCTCCCAGAACGATCGTCAGCTTGCAAGTTGCAACTAAGCACACCAGCACAAACACAGCCTTGGACGCCATGTCTGTACTTCACTGCCGACACACGATAGCGACCAAACTTTGGGCACGATTGGCTCTGGAGGTACTCTGCCCGCGGGCACTCTGGTCCTTGTTTCAGTCCCCTTATCTGTTGACAACCTAAGCGGTTCTACAGCCGAGCCGCAATCCTGTACCCAATTCGTATTTAGATTGAGTGGAAGTTCAAGTAGTTTGACGATAATACTTTGAGACGCGTCATTTGTGGGAGGGGCCATAAGTAGGCACCACTGCGCATGTCTGTGCCAATCTCCGGACTTTGAGCTCGCGCGAAACAAGTTTTGTAGCACTAACGGATTTTATGAACGTTCCTTTCCGCTGTCAGTCTTCGAAAATGGCAGTAAGCTACCAACCAAGGTCACTACATGCATTGATGCCCATATGCCAGCTGTGCATGAGTTCATGAACGTTCGTTTCAGTCGTCTGTCTTCGAAAATGGCACAAATCCCCCCCCACAGCCAAGGTCACTACCCGCATATGAGTTCATTTCATTTTCATATCATTGGGGATTTACAGTGCGAATAGGCCTGCATTGATAAAAAAAATAGCCGCACTTATGAAATTGCAATCAGCGTCCTACATTGCAAAAAAATGGATTTTTAGTAGAGGTAGAAACACTCCCACGTCACTTTAAACTGCTTTGTTGCTTTTTTACCGCCCTCTGTTGGTGCCCTCCTGAACAGCCAATAAGCTTCAAAACCTTGCAAGGCAATGCACGTCGACCATTACAAACCGATGCAATACTTAGAAAGTCGTAGTCCCCACGCAGACCCATTAAGATAAAAGTAGATAAACTGATAAACCATCACCATCATCCAAGCCAGCTGTCAAAGAGGTATTTATCGTTGTTGAGCCTGTCAGAATTGCAGGATAAATATCGTCATCCGCTGTCGTGAAAGCCGCCAGGGGAAATTAATCATATCCAAACTCTTTGTATTATATTATAGGCGTTTGGAACCATAAAAGTTGCAACCGGATATTTCAGACTGTTTTAAAGACGAATTACGGATGGCTGATGTGGGTCCACTTATATAGTCGCTCACTTATGGAATTAGCAGTGATGGGCATGTGACGTTTTTCCCACATCATAACATGCAAAGTCCATGAAGTTGTTACACAAAAACACTAGGAAACGTTCCAAGATTACGGTAGAATTTTAGCGACCAATACGATATTATGGCACTATAAGGGACACTTCTACAGAAGATCTACACTTAAAATACATCAATGGAATCACACTCGTCTTCGAGTACGAACATTATAGGAATCAAGTGAATTTTTCCGGTGAATTGAAATTATTACGTTTTATTTCCCCTTGTCAAACATTTCGCATTTCAATTTTACAAAATTCAACAACGAAATAGAAAAGTAGAAAGGCTTTAATTTATTTTGAAGAACTGAGAATAGTGACAAAAAGCTATTAATTTATGACTACTTTCATAAATAATTTACATTTGCAATTGGTCTGTTTTCTGTTCTGCCTGTGACGCAACGTTTTTATTTAAAATGTGGCGTCTAAAAATGATAAAAGAACAACACGTTGACAATTGATTAACCAAAGAAGAGGGAGGATTCAATAAACAAGCCATATGATAATAAAGTTCGTTTATGGTGGAAACTGTACCATTCTTTATTCTACTTTGTAAAATTTATCAGTAGGTGGTTTATAAACTGAACTGCTGCAACTGAAATTGCAGCGAGCCCCGGTACTCCCCCTGGAACCGCGCATGCGCTAGTGGGGGTTTTTTCCGGCACGCCCACCGTAGGGTCCACCGTGTGGCATCGGTTGTGGTAGTCTCCAATGCAGGCTGCGTACTGCATCACGTGCATTATGTAATGCTGCTCGTGCACCGTGTGGAACAGGTGAGACATGGGGCCACGGGCGAAGATCGCTACGTCTTCACCGCCGTGCGACTCGAACAAGGATAAGACCAGAGACTGCTGGGTGTACTTGGGGCCAGCTGAACAGAAAAAGAGTAACACTGAGACTGACGACATTCTTCAGTGGAATTAGGAAGGAAGGAAGATAGACCCAACTTCGATGTTCTGGCAAGGATAAGAGTTCTATCTGGTTAGGACGTACTCTTTCTTTGCCTAGTCTACCAAGACTTCTGGCCGAGCCAGGCTGGGTTAGGCGTTGTATATAGATTAGTTAGGATGACATTGGGTCGGGTTGAAATGTAAATACTGTTGACAGTAAGCTTAGGGGTAGATTATTTCAAGTTAACCTAATAATATCGATAACATAAACCTTAATTACACACATCTTGAGTTTGTCGATGAGTTACTAAGATCTTACATCTTACCTGTGTTAACATTTGTTATATTCGGGCGTTCGCCTGTTCCAGTCAGTGAGCTGCTGACTAAATAGCTAAACGGTCCGTTGGCATACCCAAGCGTTGTATATGGTAACCCGCGATCGTCAGAAAATATCTTATCTGAAAAAAAGAAAGGAAACATACTTCTTAGATTTGGTGTGAGGATGGGCAAATAGGTATGCGATAATACGTGCTCTAACTCTTCGGTCCTTAAACATGAACCAATGAACTTCGACGATGAAGAGCACTTTTCATAAATGAATTTTTAGTGAGTATATCTCTACGTCATACTTCTCGATCTCTCTAAAAGTGACTGTTGTCCGGCCACCTTGTTTGTGGAGTTTCTAGAGTTTCTCTTTGGGAGTGCTAGTTTTCTCCCACATTTTGCCAGTTAGATATCCATTCCACGATTCTCTTTTGGTTTTAGGATGTATCCAGTCAAGACGTAGACCCAGGGCCATTTGTCATTAAAGTCATTCTCTTTTGCTGTAAAGTCTTTTGTTCACTGACTACGGCGCTGTGCCGCTAACACATCTCAACTTGGAGCAGTGAAAGCGAAATTAGGGTGGGAGAGAGCGCATGGATACAAGACTGGAAAAGGGCGAAAAGGCCGACGCACCCAAAATCTTGTGGCCTCGGGGTGGGTATCCGGCAATGGACAGCGTGTGTCCGTGATCGGCAGTCTGCACTATCAAAGTGTCGTCTCCGGTTAGCTCCAGTGACCTGTGGACAGCTTCGTCCAGAGCTATGGTGTCCGTTAAGGCATCGTAGCCTGTGTTAAGATGGTTGCCGTGGTCTATCCGACCACCTGAACGAAGGAAGAGATTGTAGAAGAGTTTGTGGTTTTATGAGCGGTTTCGCTGGTCGATTGCAATCGCCTGTACCGTGGTTGGTTTGTCTATCAGTCAGTTATTGATTGTCTGTCTGTCGGTCAGTCTTTCAGTGGGTCCGTCGGTCGTGTTGTTGGTTAGCGTATCGGATGGTCATTCGATCGTTGGTCGAATGATTTGTAGGTCTGTGTCGGTTGAACGATTATGGTCAATTTGTTTTATTTTACCTTTATTAAGACCAATGATTATACAGACCTTCGACAAAAAGAAAGAATCTGTTATTCTTTCGCTGGAGAATTCTAATCGCCTTTTCGGTCATCTCAGCGATGCTTGGCTCGCCGGCAACATCTTGAGGTCTATCGGCCGCAAAATGCATGTGGTTAAAGTCAAAAAGTCCTGGACAGAGGAAAGAGGTGCACAATTGGAATGAATTTACGAAGAAGGACTATTGCAATCCATTCTGCCAGAAAAAAATAAACATCTTTCAGTATTCAAGTAATGCCGACGGAAAATCCTGAAAACAGGAACGATGGGCAGAATAGTTCGGCGGGGGGATTCAACTTGATTGTTTTGTATTGATCAGTCAGAGAATAGTGAACTTATTCAGGACTGCGCCCTCCTCGGCATGGGCGTTGTTTTCAACGAAGAAATTGACTGGAAGGAACAAAACTCAGTCACGCTGTTTGGACTGTTAGCTTTCAAAGGACAGTGATCACCACTCTATTCTTGGTTGTACGCTTAGATCTAGCACGTCACCTCACGATCCAGTGGGCCCATAAAGACGTCTTTTTAATACTGGGCCGTCTAAGCTTTTGGTCATTTTGAATAAACGGTCGACTGTACCGAGGAGATAGTCGGTGGTCCACGGGTCGACTCGGTCAAACTCCGCCTGATTCCACACGTATTCGGCCGTTCCTTTTTGGCGGTATCTCGCCTTCCACTCGTCGATCAGATTGCGCCCGTCTGTCCTTATGCCTGAGAGAGTGGTGACCTCCGGGTCCTGAGTGGTGTTCGGTGTAAACATGCCCCTACCGCCGCCCATGACGACCTGAATATAGACAGGATGTACAGTTAGTACTTTGTCAGTGGATTGAGGGAACAATGTCCTAATTCCTAAGCACCCAACCAACCGGCACAAGCACCCTTACATTTTGTATCCTTGTGGGGAATTTCCTTTGTTCTCTTGTAGTAAAAAAATTAGTGTGTGAAGCACGGATTTCTGCGAGTGTTTATTGTGCCTTGTGGGGGTACCAGAACGATGGAAAGTACCCCACGAGGAGCATTCGTTGTTCTTATGGGGTACTAAAATGGTACCCCATAAAAAAATTCACGAAACTGATCTTTAGAAATTACTCAAAATAGGGATTTTTCAAAGTGTACTTGCCCGTCGCAAATTGAGATTTTTTATATAAGGGACGTTCAATTGAAATTTCGGCCAAGGGAAATGAATCAGGACTAAATGGAACTAGTGTAATCACTGGTCTTTAAAAAAATCAAGGGGGTAAACAAAGGCACCCGTGTTCGCCCCTATCAAACTTCCGAACTCCAGGTTTCATTGATGTAAACGTGGCATTTTTTTCTTGAAAGGACAGGAAGTAGGCCCCTACCTGTGCTTCGATGTTCATGTCAGTTCCATTTCATCGTCATCAAAAATAATCAGGAAAACAAACGAAAGGCCAATGAGACAGACCTTGACCTGACCATGATTATTCTAGCCTTGTGGTAGACCCCTTGCGTATCACTAGTCAATCCATAAACATGGATGGATGATTTGGGATCTTTCTGATCCAGGCCTCACCCTGGCAGCCATCTTGAAGGGCAGGCTTGTGAAATAAGACGAAACAAAGGTCTCTTATTTCCATTTCCATGCAGGAATCTCCTTCAAGAAAGCTTCTTGATGGACGAGACCTGTTCCACTTCCACTCTGCTTACATCGATATCGAAGTCGGACTCGATGAGTTGGAGGGCTATGTCCGTGCACCCAGCGGGCCGTTCTTCAGCCGGCACACTCGCCTCCCAGTTCCGCTCCGGTGTGTGCGCGTAGGCCGCTGCCGGCGTTGCGTGGGTAACACTGGTCGTCGTTACCACGCCCACGGCCATTCCTGGAGTGGAAACACCCATTGTGCTATTGGAAAAATAGTCACTCCTCCCTTAGAAAGCAGAATAAAATCTGACAAGATGCGTCAAAAAATTCTTTGCTTAATAACGTCTTTCGGGTCTTACTTAGCTGGTTTTTCTAAAAATCATTCATTTACCGATGAGGTAATAAATTAATTGGAAACGCGCTAGTCATTCACAGAAATCAACCCATAGATATACATGGATCTGCTAATATTTCACAAGACAACTAAGGACGACCTTATAATGTTGAGTAACAAGCATAATGATTTGTACCAAAGGGCGTTTTCAATCGGGGGATCTGTGACAGATTAAATTTAGTTCCAAAATTAGCAAGAATTGTATCTATAATTACACTGATATTGACTTTTTAATGTATCCAGCCATTAACTGTTTATCCATGTCCAGATGCTTTCTCCTTTCCTTAAACTCCTTACAGCCCTTTGAGTAAGGCCTTTTCGCCATCAACTTATACCTGCTTCCTTGGCTAATTTCAAGATAGAGTCGACTCCATGGGACATCGTGGTTGGCTGGCACATGGTAGCATTGGCCCCAGCGTCCAATCCCACCAGTCGTCTCTTGGTCTTGACACCGCTCAGGTAAGCTGTGGCAGTCCCTGCTGAGTCGGATACCTGGGAGTTCGTGTTGTATGTCTGAATGGCAAATGAAGATGACACCAGATCATTTTAGTACCAATGCAATCGAGACCGTTTTTACTATAGAATATATCCCATCAAACCCCCACAGATCGTGGTATATATACCTGTACATAAATCGCTTGAAACGCCCACAAAATTAAATCGATTTTGCCCACAGGCTTGTTTAAATAGGCCTAATTGCACCCTCCATTTCTTAGCCTTGAAGCGACTTTCAATGAACGCGTAGTATGTTGTACTTCAAAAATATACCTTTGAGTATCCCAAATGGGGGAACTGCTCGAAGGAAAATATAGTCTCCTCTCCAGGCTTTCCTTGCTGCTGCCCCTTGAAGATCCGTGCAGCAGTCAGGGTAGGAACGCTGAGACCGTCCCCGATGAACAGTATGACGGCCTCGGCGCGGTTAGTGTTGTGCTCGGTGGCCCTGATGGCAGCTACAAGTTCGTCATGGCCTTCGGTCTTCCAAAACAGTGGATTACTTTCATCTGTGAAGGAAAATGAAAGCATTGTAGAGGCAGAATTGTTCTTGACGATGGGGTTACTGCATGAGGCACTTCACTTTGAAGTGAACAATAATGTTTCTTACAGAATGCCCAAACACATTTCTTCTTAAATTCATACTCTGGCCAAGACAGAAGCCTCAACGACATCTAATGTTGTTTTTATCATTCTGCTCAATCAAAGAAAAGAACTTTTTATTTAGTAGGGCGAAGAGCTTCCAAACATTTCCTAATCACTTTTTACCGTCTTCATGATCCGCCCTCATTCATTTGGCAGATTCCACATCCATGACAACTTATTCCATTGACAGTACACACAAATATGTGTTCGAACCGAAGATGGCCAATAGTGCACTTTATGCCAAGGTAGACAAGTTCGTCAAAATACACGTCAAAGATTGGTATCCAAGAGGTAACTCACCCTGGCCACTGCTCTGCCGTACAACGACCGCCAAAGCAAACCACAAAACCAACCAACTGGTAACAAGTCTTCTGTTGGTGTCGGCTTCCATCATTACCGTTCTACAGGCATGCGTAACCGTAGGAGTAAATTCCATAGACACATGAGCAGCTCAACTCAAGGGTCGATGAGAATCAAATGAGGTCAAAATCTGTGCTCGTCTCGGCAGTGGAATGTTACGAGCGACTACATTACAACCTGGCAAAACCCGACCCTTGGACATGTTTCCAGGCAACGCGTTTTTTTTTTAAAGTTTAGGACAAATATGCTATGCGTGATGGCAGCACAATTGGCAATCGCTAAGGGAGCCTCTTCAGGAACAATTATATGAGTCAATCAGTCAAATGTAAATAAAAACCCTGACTTCCGGAAGTCAGTACTTTTGTTTCTGCCAACACTTCTGTTGTTAGGTTTGTAGGCCTTTATTCTTGCGTACCTGTTATAGGTGGTTTCTGATGAAGCATCGCCTTCTATTTGGGCTTATTTTGCATATGGGACAGAGAACTTGCCTTGCAGCGCTTTTCACACTCTGTTTGCCAGAAATCATTAAGTTACAATGTCAAGCTATTAAAGCAATAGTCGTTTCAAAAGTTTTGATCCATCGATGAAATGATGTCATTGGGACGACCCTTACTCTGAGCTCCAGGTTCGTCTTTGCCATGCCCCCTTCGTAGGGTTCGTAAAGGGGACTTCATATTGCACTGCCTTTTCTAAAGATGGATTTGTATCGGCCAAGTTTGTGTATTAATTATTTTGGGTGAAAAGCGGTCGACCCATCTTTGGGGTGCAACAAAAGCAGAGTGTCCAGAATTGCTGCCTTTTCATTTCTCAAGACTAGTTATCTGATCCATACGCCCGTGAAATCAGGTGTGGTATTACCGTTTCTGACATTTTAGTACTTTCAATTCTTTAAAAAAAAATCATCGGCATTGTGTCTCGATCGGGGCCCCTGCCCCCTCCTCTGGACACATCACCGATACAACCACCGGCAAATTTAATTACAGTACTTTGCAAATTGTTGAGATGCAACATAACGACAGTTCATTAATGATTGGAGAGAGCACAATTTAGGACGATGGGTTTTTTTTGTCAAATGCTATCGTTTATTTGAAAATAATCAAACGTAAGCAAGAAATTTTGAAGAGTGTTTATACCTATACTTAAAACTTTTATCAGAATATCCACACCACACTTATTTCGCAGATTTCATTAACCCTAATGTCCCAAATCCTCCTATTTCAAGATGATTTTACATACACCCTAGTGGGTTAAGGTAAGTGCAAACCATAATGATTCACTTTCATTCAATAAATGTTATAAATAGGCTTTTTCTTTCGCTCAACCATTCAGGGATTAAAACTGTTTCAAGATGATTTGAAATGTGGGAGCCATTCCCGGCTTTTTGAGCTTTTTGGTGCATGTGATCTTGATTCATTATTTGTTTGCAGTTTCCCTCGTTTTACCATCCTCCATAAGGATAAATTTTTCTGGCTACGCCGCTGCTGATGAAGCCATCAAGTAGAGATTGAGTTCGTTTAACCTCCTGGTAGTTTGGGTTGGAGTTGGAATGAGATACGATCCCTGTTAATGTGTTATTCGACCAAAGAGGTTTGACCGGGTTATCAGTACCAAGTACTTCTCACATAACCCATTTTCACCTCAAGGATAACATCAAGGTGGCTGATAGGAATACTTGACCGGAGCCTGTGTGCCAAGGAACTGGAATGTGGTATTTGGCCAAGACTGACAACTTAAACTAAATCGTTTAGAATCTGTATACTTTTGTGTAGAAACGGATTCTTTTTGCTTTCAAAACGATACCCGACTAATTTGATATTTTTTTTATATTGAAGGGAATGACATGTATCATTTTCCTGTAGGTAGATCACAAAAACCAGAAAAGAAGCAATATGTATTCAGATTTTTTCAATTTTGAGGTTTGTGTACAATCTTCCATAGATCGATTGATCTCGATGCAAATCGGAAAAAAATATCTTCACAAAGTTTAGAGCGTCAGTGAAACCCACTAACCCCGTAGCAATGTAGCAATATATGTTCTAGGGTGACTCTTGATATCATGCTCACTTGGACTTCGGTCTAGTGGGTCTAATTGGCTTCTTACACCCCTCTGCGATAACCCAAAGTCACCTTGAAGTCCAAAGCAATGGAGACAATGGATCGAGCAGGCTGGTTCTTGATGGGATTTATTTGGGCTCCGCAGAGGGCGCCCTTTTCGGACAATGGTAATCAACGCATGAATGAAGGCTGGAGGGAAAAGGCATTCTCGATATGTACGTCTCAGTTATAACATTAGAATAGTTGGGTTCCGATGTTAAAAAGTCAACGCCGTTTTGACAATTTCTATGTCCCTCTCTTTCCATGCATGATGTACACTCTTATTTCCTTATATTTAATGATCAAATAATGGAAAGTTTCAGTTTACATCCCAAGCAGAAACACTTCGCCCTTTGAAAGACTTAGGCATATCTTGAATTGAAGTGGAATCATTTTTTCCAAAGAAGGATCGGTGAGAAGAAATATGTAGATATGTAGATAAAACTCCCGAAATGAAAACAAATATGACTCGAAGGTTAAAACAATGAGTTTTATCCCATTCCAATCACTTTCGTGAGAAGATTACGCCGAGAGGTGCACAGATTTTCAATGGTTTAGAAATCGTTATCCGGTAATGCATCCACCAGCAAAGAGGGAACTCGACTCTCGAATTGTCTGAATATAGGGACCCGGTGAGTCAAAATAACAACTTTATTTATAGAAATCTTGTTTACACGTAACTTGTTCAATGTGCATGAGATTATCGTTAATAGGCAGTCACCTGATCCCCCGCAGATAACTCATTTTGTAAGAACTCAATATCAATGTTCAGTTGAGACAACTTTGGAACCAAAGGCAGATAGGTCGAACTTTTGCCTCATCAAAACTCAAAACATGGCGTGTCGCGTGCTTCAATTCGGCCTTTTGGCGACTTTGTTTTTCCTAACGCAACACGAAACGATAGCTGGTGAGTAATACACTGTTGTTATTTGAGGCCCGGATGTATTTTGTTCAATTGTGTCGTGTCTTTCCGTTCAAAGATGTTCTTAAATCTCAAAACAGACACTGTCCTTATATTCTGTGATAGAGTCTGGTCATCAGTGCGTACCAAATTTCACTGTATGCTGCGTTGTTCTCTATATTGAAAAGGGAATGGTTTGCCTTGTCTGAATACAGAAGGGTCCATCCCGTTCTAGATTTGTACTGGTAATTAATTGATTTGTTAATATTCCCGCACAAGCCGATGAAACCACTCCTCAGTATTGGTACGACCGTAGTCAGGTGGAGTTAGACGCCGCCCTGGTTGAGTCGCAAGGCTTCAACACCAACAGAGCCGAGGGAATGATCTTATTCATTGGGGACGGCATGAGCGTGTCCACCGTGACCGGGGTCAGAATCTGGAAAGGACAGAAGGCTGGTAACACCGGAGAAGAGTCTAAACTCGTTTACGACGACTTCCCTCATTTCGGATACTCCAAGGTATTCATGGTAGTGAATGGTTTCAAAAGTCTAGCCTAACCCAGTGCCTCTAAATCCTTGGCATTCTTGTCATCTGATGATTGATGTACTCAAATGAAATTTGTGTGATATGATGAGGATATGAGTGATTTAACTTTAATACTGATAGGTTTAGTGCAACCTAAAGAAACAGTTTCATGCATAAATCTAAAATTAATCTGTTCTCTCTAAATTCTTGAAAGGCTACTGTTAAGAGGCTCCGAATTCAGTATTTTTCGATTCTATAATATCAAATTCATGATATATTCTGTTACGAAGTTCTTACTAGTTCTTACTTACCATTTATGAAAACTCAAGTGTCAACTCAACACTGCTTTTTATGGTCCCTGCAGACGTACAATACCGACTCCCAAGTTCCCGACTCCGCCGGGACTGCCACAGCTTACCTCACCGGAGTCAAAACGAAGCGCCGTGTCTTGGGCTTGGACGCCGGTATCCAGGTCAAGAACTGCAATTCGATATCTGGCCACGAAGTGGACTCCATTTTGGCCATGGTCAAGAAAAATGGTAAAGACTAGAAGTCAAGAAATGGTTCCTATGATTTTCAGAGCATCTCAAGATTTGAAGATGACAATTTTATCTACCGTTTACATCTCCTCGCGCAGCAGGCAATGAAAAACTGATGACAGACATTTATCAAAATCAAGCTCACTCGGTCTCAATAGTCTTTGGTGAAAATAACAAAGGCTATCATTCAAAGAATAACAGGCCTCAACCGACAAAGATCCTTTCATGATATTTATTCCTTTATTTTATTATGCTCAGTATTCTACTTCTCATCAGATGGAAGTTTCTTCAGAAATGACAGGAGGTTTTAAACAATGACTGTGTATTTCTCTTAAACTGACATCTCCACGTGTGATTACACTGGAGCACTTATCAACGATAAAGCCATGATCTGTTTTTGGACATCATCGGATTGACCTGCGTAGGTTATCACCCTTGAGTGGTTGATATTTTTTGAAGTGGGTTTGTGTGCTCAGGGCTACCGGTGGGTATCGTCACGACAACCCGCATCACCCACGCCTCGCCTGGGGGAGCCTACGCCCACGTACCACACCGAAGCTGGGAGGATGACTCTGAGTTGCCTCAGGAAGCGGTGGACAACGGCTGCAAAGACATCGCCAAGCAGCTCGTGAAAGACCACGACATCGATGTGAGTACAGCTCCTATAGTTAAGACATTCTTTCGCAAAATTTCAGAGATGGAAGGATTTAGATCAGTGTCCAGGCCGACTTGTCACTTTAAATTGATGAGTGATCTACACCCAACAGTAAATTGTCCATTACACACTTTTTGGAACACCTAAATCTCTCCTCCACGATACTGATTGCAGCAAGGAAGAAGGCTTGTTGAGACATCATGAAGAAATCTCTTCGGTAAGAGGTGTCGATTATCAGAAGAGCTGATGTGGAATTTTCGACGTTTCAAACAGTCTGCTCTGTCTGTCTTCAAGAAATAGCTGGAAGGAGCTGATTATGTGGGGTGTTTATTTACAATTAATTTGAAAACCTTTCATTACAAACTTAATGCATTTCGGCAAAATGTAAACTTCTTGAAACATCGATTGGCAGTTGCACCACTTCATCTTTGATTATCGCAAGAATCGTCACTGTTAATCGAAGGGATTTTTTCCTGTTAAATGAAGGTGATCCTGGGAGGGGGAAGGCGTAGGTTCTTGATGAAGTCACAGCAAGATGAGACAGGTTGGGCGGGCGCGCGGAGCGACGAGGACCTGATCGCGGCTTGGAAGGCCAAGTACGCAAACAAAGCCAGCGCCGAGTACATCACGACCAGGGATCAGTTACTCACCATCGATCCAGATGACACGGAATATCTCCTCGGTGAGTTGAGGCCTTTGCCCAAATCAACTGGAACCCACGACATCCAGATTGAATGAGAAGTACACGCATGCATTGATACAAAAATCCACTCGCAGCTGATGTGAGTCTCGAAGAGAAATTCAAAGATTCTCCTTCTTCGGTGTATTACATGTAATTGATTAGCTGTTAGTTGCAAGCCCATGAGCTTGTCTCTGTCTCCAAGCCTGCAACCACATCTTTAGAATTTCCAAATGTAACTTTAACATTTGAGTTAGGCTTTTCGAGCCCTTTTCTGCGTGTCCTCTTACCGTCCTACTTGCTTGAAGTAGCCTGTTAACAGAAGTTCACTGGCAGAAAAATACACGCCAGTGAAGGCATCCCAGGAGTTGTATCGATTTTGATTTTCTTGAATATCCGCCTTAAAGGTGTCATTTAGGCGTTTCCTGCGTGCTTTTATTGACCAAAGCCCATCTTGAAACCACGGCCAAAACAAATTTTTGCTGAAGGACTTTGTTGAACACAGAAAGATTTATGAACTTTTTCTATAAAAAATGATTCAAAGTGGATCTGGGGTTATTGCACCAGTGATAGAAAGTCAAACAATAGCGGTGTCAATTCCACGCCGATTTAAACTGCAGTCCATGATTTATTCGGTATCCCAGTGATTGCGTCTAATCGCATCTTTATGAGGCTTGTTTGCATCTCAAAATGGCGTCTCTCTGCTTCTTGCAATTGCGTGCAGGTCTATTCGGTTATGCAGAACTGAACTTCGACATCTCCAGAACAGCCAAGGAGCCTACGCTGGCTGAGATGACGGAGATGGCCATTCGTATTCTCCAGAAAAAGAGCACAGACGGAAGATACTTCCTCTTCGTTGAAGGTAAAGCTAAAACTTAACAGGAAGTTTAGTGTTGATTAAAAAGGGAATAAATTATGTGCTTGGCCGGTCTTAAGACGCCTTTTCATATGCCTGCCACCACATGCGCCAAACGTTGCGTATCGCACACCTGTGTTATGTTAATGGAGTCAATTTTTGTGTCCGTGAAAGCAAAACGCACGAACGCCTTCGGCCTCTAGAAATAGGACCCTCTCCTGTTCACTCACAGTCCCTCGGGGATATAGACGCGCACTAGAGACCTCGTTGCCAGTCCAATATGCCTATATTGATACACGGTCAAGTTGCACGTTGTTGAATAGGGAGACTGTCTGCTCTGAGGTATTTATGAATGAGAATTTTTAAAGTGAAGATAACGGAGAAGAATGGTGTGGCATTATAGCGAGTCTTGATGTAAGGCGACTTGTGTAAATCGGAATGGGTCGAACTTTGTGTTCTCAGTGGTAAATGGCGTAATTATCCACTCGTATCGCAGGTGGTAGGGTCGATCATGGTCACCACTACGACCAAGCCAAGTTTGCCATCACAGACGGACTGGCTCTGGAGGCGGCCATAGCCAAGGCCAAGGAACTCACGACTCCAAACACCCTCATAGCTCTCTCCTCGGATCACAGCCATACGCTGAGTTTTGCTGGCTACCCGAAAAGGGGGAATCCCATCTTTGGTGAGTTTTTATCTTTATCGAGGGACAGATCGACCAGTCAGTTGTTCGATTACTTGGAAGTCGACCATTCAAGTAATCAAGAACATACAATATGACCTGATTAATCGGTCAAATAACCACAATGATCGTATAAAACGTACTTCCCGTAAAATAAGGGTTGATGGGTTGTGCATCCTCTGTGCTGGTTGGCTGGGTTGTGCCCTCTTTCTTGGTTCCCACAATTCCCTGCTCTTCCAACTCATTACTTACTAACTGGCTGACCCCGTTCGCCAAGTAGCTGGGTGGCTCGGTCGGCGATTCAAGTTGTCTGGTTAGCTAGCAGGATCGACCGCCAGGCTTGTTGGTTGGATGGTTTGGTGATACACTGACTTGTCCCCTGACTCGACACCATAAGTTGCAAACTCAAAACTGAATTTTGAAACCGTAAATTTTATGCATTGTTATACATAGGTAAAATATTCTCCGACTCCTACAATTTGCCGTATACAACACTCAGCTACTATTCAGGCAGGACGGCCTTGTTAGATGTGGCGCTGTCTTTCAGGTTCAATGGACATCGGCCGGATGTTACTAACGTCGATACAGGTACAGTTGGACATGTGACCTCAACCTTTCCCTTTTGGTATAATTAGATAGAGCATACATCACCATTTCATGGTATTATGTTGTTCCCTTTATCCGACTTGAGCAGAAGTAACCACCTCGTCGGTTGAAAAGAGTCATGTTGGTGGGGAGTGTTCATTTTGTTGGTATAGCGATGCGATCGCAACGCGTGAATTTCGCAATCCTTTGTGAACCAACCAAGAACACCTCCCGCCAAAGAAGCCCCGTTGTTAGGAGTAATGCGCCCTCTCTTGTCGGTGTAGGCGGATTTCATCATTGCCGTCATAACATTTCTGGTCATAGCATTAGATTAAATTTACGGAGCTTTGCCTTATTTCTTTCAGTATTACAATTCATGTTAATTCAACATTTTGACAGAGAAAAAGTCTTACGCCCAGCAGGCACTCGTTGGTACCTATTCGGCTACGCACAGCGGAGAGGACGTGGCTATCTTCGCCACCGGGCCGTGGTCTCACCTCTTCCACTCCGTCCACGAGCAGAACTACATCCCGCACGTCATGATGTTCGCCGGCTGCGTTGGAGACTACTATGACACCTGCCGAGATTCGCCCCTCATCAGCGGAAGTTTGACGGCCGAGGATGCAGCAGTGCCGGCCAGGTTTCGTTATGCGGCAAAGCCTAAAAGCTTCACCCTAGTGTAGTATCCCCATGGGTCGGGGCTGTCTGGGCTGTCCCTCCCTGGGGTAACCATTATCAAATCCCTACTTGTCTTGAATCAAAGCGACTGTAAATATAATTATATCACAATGTCTTTCATCCATTATTCACCCCTGCAGGTTAAGTGCATAGGCCTATTGGTGGCGCTCATTTTGGCATGACTGCTGAGATCAGTAAGTGTAGAAATTGTGAGGCCTTCAAACACCATAGCTTCTGACGTCAGACATACTTGTTCACAGAATCTTGGGGTGATACAGGGCGGATACTGGAGGAACACGCGGAAAGTGTCCAGTCATGTTCTCCTGGAAACCACTATAATCATGATACTTCCCTGTACACTCTAAAAACATTCTGACTACAAATTTAACGTTTCTGAGTCAAGGGAGCGAACCCCTACTCAGTAAACTCACAGGCACTGTAACAAAGAGATTACGTTTAAAAGCACTGTTTGATCTACTGGTTTAAGAAAAATGCAACCGCTGACTTTGTAGACTTTTAAATCTCTTAAATTAAAGCCGCACATTTTGCGCCAGGGAGATGCACCGAGAGCGTCTGTTGTGACATGTGGGCACAATAATGAGATGGCATAGCAAAATTTAAGAGAAAAGGGAATTGAGTTGGCATGAACCTGACTAAAGTAAATTAAGATTGCAGGCAACCTCACTTGCAGTAAGATTTAATATACGAAATACAGAATACGGCATTGTTGTTTCAAACTGAGAAATGAAAAATATCTTTGATATTTGTTGTACAAACGGTCTCATTCCCCGAATCCCCGTCAACAATGAGGGGGGTTGCAGTAACCGGGTAATTAGTAGCTTAAATTGAAATGTACAACAGTATTTTCACTTTCCCCCATTTTATTTCACATTTCAAGAAATATTACATTCGAAATCTACACAAATATGTAGAACAAACGAGGGTTGAATTCCCCCATATTTTTCCACATTTAGAGCTGGTCCATACTGCATGCAGGCGAATGCAAAAGCGAAGTGAATTTAAGGCCATGACAAATGTTCTGCAATATTTTGCTTGACAAATTCGATTTCGTTTCGCTTTTGCATGAAGTATTAAACCAGCCTTTACTCTGTACAAAAATCGGCATTAGAAAATAAATCACATTTTAATTAGGTTGAGATACCTTATAGTGCGTTAGATTTGAGGTGGAAGCAACGATAAATGGCGTATTAAAGTTATGGTTACTAGTTATTGAACAAGTGTAAAAAATATCGACGACAGAACTTCGGTTGACAGTGATTTACAGTTTTGTTGTGTTCAAAGTTCCATCTTTGTCTGAGTATTTCTCATCTAAATTCACATTCACGTTGAAATGAGACACAGTGGGGTTGTTTTGCAATCAAAGATACTTGATGTTTATCAAAGTGTGCTTCCAAGGGAGCTTAATCATTTCCAATGAATAAGGAGTGTTCTCTGTTTTGGTTCTGCGCCATTTTAAAAATAAGATCTCGCGCTTGTAGGAGTCAGCATCATGCTAATGGCATCGCTATGCAACTCTGTGAAAAATAGCGTCAACTGAGGGCACTAAACATATACGCCAACCCTGCTGCATATACCAGGCACGAAATGGGACACAGGGGTACCCCCAACAAGTTCAATTCCTATACACAATCCAGCCAATTGTCACTTAACACATCCCCCTCCCCATGTCTGAAAAGAATTCCTGAGATACTAGTAAACAATGATCAACACAAAGGCGGGGGGGAGGTGTCTCTGTCTCATAGTTTGCTTCATGTGCTGCCGCATAACGAATAGGCCCAAGCCTTTTACGAGTTAAATTTGAATAAAATCTGGTGCACCGAGTTCTTTAAATTCGCGTGAACATAATAATTAGAATTCTCCAGGCTAAAAACATTCTCGCTATACCTCCTGATTCGGGGCAAGCTTTTGCTTAGTTACATAAGAGACGCCTTGCAACAATACACTGTTCTCAATGGATAAGAAGGGCACAAAGGAACCAGTCCATTCCAGAGATGGTGGTCGCTATGCAAAAGCCTGCCCCGCATCACGAGGTATAACAACAGTGTTTTTAGTCTTAAGAATTTAAATTGTTACCTTTATGTGCAATCAGATATTCAAATTTAATCACAAATGGCTTATTGGTATGTACGTTTGACAGAATAGTGGCCAATTGCCATCTTGTCAATGAGAAATGACAAAAACTGTCGATTCATGCTAATGCTTCCAGCTATGAGATGAATGATCCGTTTTGATCGGGGTTGTCGGGAAAGCTCTCTAGTAAAAGCCTCTTTCTTAGCCTTAAATTATGCGCTTGCAGCCGTTCTGATCTTACTATAGCCCCCTCGGGTGGGTAGGGCCTATTGTTCCATTCATGACATGCATTAGTACATAATGGAAAGTAATGCAAAGACGTAACCCATGCAGTCGCCATCGGTGGCTCACAGTTCGTATGCACTCTCCTCGTTATCTCTGAAATCCAAATGCCTTATTGTAATTGTACGTTGGTGTTACAGCGACAGAAATGCATGTTTAACGGGGCTCAAACCATTAAAGCTATCGACCGTGCGAAGGATATATTCTACACCAATCACAAGCATGTTTGGTGAGCTGATGGAACAATCGTATATTGTCTTCTCGAATGGAGACAAGTTACTAACCTTGGATTTGCTCCATGAGTACACATCGATAGATCCCACTTACCGTAGGAAATCATTTCGCTTGGACGATACGTGCATTTTGAACATCATCTGAGAAGTACTGATAGGTAAGTTTCAGGTATTAACCCATTTGAAAAAATGTACACCGATTGTTATTTCATAAAATTAGGGGCCATTACGTAAAGAACAATAAATAACTGTAATATGAAAGTATTTATAAGGCACATATAACAAATGAAAAGTTAAACTGTCAGATGAAACTGACGGGAAGTTGGTTAGAATTAGACGTGAACCTAAATATCGACAGAGTGAAATTCACAAAAATTGTTACAAAGCAAATTTTTTAAAGAAAATGCACAGAGACATGATGAGAATTGATTAACATGCAACAGAAAAATGTAAAAAAAATAAAGATAAGAAACATAGATTACAAAACCTAAAAAACGTAACAAAATGGAGGAATAAGAAATGAAAACGAACAAATTTATTCAACACCCGGTCGTAATTGTGTCTCTTATCGTATGCACACGAGTCAAAGACAGCGCGTCAATCGTCACCGTCTCTCCATTTATTCCCATTAGTCCGTCTCATGACAACGCTTTGCCACTGCCCCTGGACAATAATCGATCCACTGCGACTTGATCACATTTGAGCGTGAGCAAAATAATAGGAAATTAAGCAGCCTCTGCAGTGTTAAACGGAGATCTATTTTAAAAAGTAAGAAATTATCATATTTGTCATCGGGTAAACGGTAGGTGCCTAATTTACCATAAAGGAAAAGACAAAAACAAAACAGAATAAAACAAAACATCAAAAAAAAAACTTAAATAAAATTGTTTTAACAGGAATTAAGTGCCCTCACTTTAGTCTGTAAACATGAAAATTATAATCAGTTTATATATTTCGATTGAGTTTTTTCCATTCTTCATTATGGTGAAGTGTACCGGACAAAAACAACCAGCGCCTGCAATAAAGCTTCCCTAGAGGGGAAGGTATAATCGTGCACTGGCCTGACGGGCGTTGAGCATTCATCAAATGGCATCCGTGTAAAAACTAGCCAGTCGGGGCAGATGGGTGCGTCATCGTCTCCACGCTACCTTTATCACGCCCCTCGGGAGCCCTCACAAACCGACCGATCTTTATCGGTGATTTATGTAATTATAAAACTGAGCGAGCAAGCTCTACTTCTGCATTACACGGCCGAGAGAAAAAAAATGGTCTGCAGATTGGAGAGAGAGAGAGAGAGAGAGAGAGAGAGAGAGAGAGAAATTGATAGCAAAGTTTTTATTTGTTCATTTGACGGTGTGTACGTGCCGGAATAGTGCCGTGAGGTGAGCAGCGAGTTCGTGAGCTGGACCATTCTGTCGCACAATCGTGGCCCCGAGGGAAGATGGATAAAAGGGCGCGAGACAGAGAGAAATATTTTCTTCTCTTACTCTCGCGTTCACTGTGTAACCAGCCCAGCAATTACAGCAGCATTCGATCTGCCGATATCCCTGCAGGACTACCCTATTTGACGGGAGACTGAGCAGAACGGAGGACGGTGTGTCGGATGGAGCAGGCCCGGCCTGGCGCGTCCTTATGTTTTCCACACCGGTTCAGATGAATTCTGAAAGGACGCTGCGTGGTTGATAAGCGTCAGCTTCATTTTCTTAATTTTCCTCTGCCGGATGATTGAGTGGTAATTGAGCGGCTCTTTTGACGCATCAGGAATCAAGCGTGGCCGTGATGATGGAGTCGGGCCTGACCAACTGGGGTGATCTGCTCGTCTTTGGAGTGTTTCTCTTTTTCTTAGGGATCGGCTGGACTTTCGGTCGGTGCTACAGTGACTTCTACAAGGAGTGCGACTCCAAAAGCCGCAACGAGATCATGGAGGCTCTCTTTGTGCGCTCCACCGTGGAAGCGGCTGCAATCCTCGGCTTTGCTGGACTTGTACTTCTGCTGGGGATGTTACGCAGGGAGATGGACCTGCCCCTGGAGGGCAGCAGGTGGAGCATATGGTTTGCCTGGGTGCCGTTCCTGGTCTACGCGGTGTGCCGACTGGCCGAGGACCGCTGGGCGGGGCTGTGGAGGCGAGTCAGCCGGCTCTGCCTCGCCGGGACGTTCCTGTGCCAATTCGTGGCCCTGTCTGCCCACATGCACCGCTTCCCGCCCGGCACGGATCGCGCCATGTACGAACCCCAGTGCCTGTTGGTGTTAGTGGCGACCGGCATCACGATCACTGAGGTGGTGGTACCGCTGAAGAGGCGTATGCGATGGGTCCGCCCAGGATGCACGATGGTACAAGGTACTTGGTACGTCCAAATTGGCTTCACGTTATGTGTCAGTGGACGCGAGTGGCAACTGGAGGACAACGTCACAATGACGGTGGTATTCATATTCCTATGGCATTGTGCACTTAGTTCTATCATCATTCATTTTGTGCGGAAAACGGTGAGATCCGCACTCTGCGCCGAGCCGTACATCCAAGGTGACTTCGAGTCGTGTGATGAAGACTTCGACGTGGATAACATTTATGACGATGAGCAAATTTTTGAGACCATTGGTCCTTCGGAGGACGTCGAGAACCCCAAAACATGACCGAATCACATCCATCCAGCTGCTGTTTAAACTGCAAATGTAACCAAGTGATTAGATGAATGCATGCACGTGGATCTTTTGGAAGTAAAGTTTAATATTTTCAGTTGTTTGCAAATCCAATGCTGGGAATGATTGTTGAAGAATGCCAGTAAAACTTACCTAAGTGATAGGAGGAACATAATTATTTCAAAACAAAACAGCATTTTGTCAATGTTAGCTGGACAGTTATAAGTGCTACCAACCTCAGCCTAGGATACAACCATTTGAGGTCGCATTACTTAAATATTCCTATGCATGCGAAATTCAGGCCACTGAAAGGATGGCTTCTCAATTGATGAAGAAAAAACCACACCATCACCGTTTCCTGTTTCTGCGATTGTTCCAATCTTTTTACTGCGGCATCTTGCAAGCTAAATTGTAAATTCACAGCCCACACACCACTCTAGATGCGGGAGACAGTACCACTGACATACGCTATGTTCAGCTTGTTTTGGTAATGTGATGTAAATTGCCTGTTATAATGGCAGCAAAGGTGGATGAATCGATAAATTCACGAAAGTTCTATGTTCCTTTTAAAGATACGGTAGACTGCGCATATACGTGTCATTGTTACGTTGATTGATGCGATGCGATTTCAGTGGTATACTATAAAATGTTGTAAAAAGCCTGTATTTTTTTGAACGTGAACTGTTTTAGAAATGACATTAAATTTTTTGTTAAACTCAAAAGCAAACAGATACTTGCTTAGAAGAATGTGTAAATTAAGGGAAAGGAATCATTCGAGGAACTTTGTGCCGAATTTGCTACTGTTTTCTTTTTATCCTGCCGAAAAAAACTTGCCGAATGGGGTCCATTGATTTTATTAGCCGACCATTTTCCCCAGTGGGAAACACTTCAATATGTTCGTTGGCCAGACTGTAACAAAATTATTAAAGATATGAAGTTCGCTGTTCTCAGACATTAAAATCGTTGAAGAGGAAACATTGGTTGTAGGTTAATGGAGGTATAGTAGGGAAAACAAAAACTTAGTCAGTTATCTTAGTCATAGCAAACTCGACACAAACACACAACACAAAACAAACGAAGTCAAGTTCAGTGAGACAAGCGAAATCGAATGCGACACCAGCTCCCCAAGGATTCCGCATTTTGATTCATGCATAATGGACCACGAGAAATTAACACTGACAGCGAAATCCCTGTCCGTTCAGTGCCTCGGGAATTACATTTCATGTTGTTTGGGAGTTTGCCATTTATGCACAACGACACTACTACCGTAGTGGAAGATGTTAATGGCTTGTGTAAAGTAATGCAGAAAACATCGGATGCCCGCTGCAAAACACAGATTCCTGAAATCTGGACAGTCTGTTTGGTGTCGATGTCAAGAACACGCTCCAAAATGAATCCGTAGGCCTATCCCTTTTTTTTTTAAACAGCCTCCCTGTAGGATTAGGGGAAAATGACTGTTTGAGATTTCACTTCTTGATCTATTGATCTGATAGATTTTACTGGTGCAACCAAGTCAGAGATTTGTTCAATCCCATTTGTGTTGATAATCCTCGATAATTTCCGACTTCTAGTCGAAAGCACGTTGCTTTCGCTCTATACTACACGACATGCCCCAGACGAGTACCATAGCGTTCATAATGTTAACTACGGAAGCCTCTAGGCAACCCTAGCAGTTTCTCCTCCTGTTTTTGGAAGCAAAGCTGCAGTGGTAAGAGAACCATTCAGCTTAGTTCGACTCAAAACCTGTTTTTCACCCACACAGTGCTGAGCTGAAGTGCATCACCTCGGTCTCTCGAAACCTAAGTAGAAGCAATTTCTTTAGACTGCATGCACTCACCAATCAGGGTTGCCGGTCCTCTTCAAGGCAAGACAGGAAACGAGATTCAATTACCTCGTGCTCAATATGGTTGTGGAAGTACATGCGTTGACGCCGAGCGAAGTAAATGAGAGCTAATCAACTTGACTTTATTGTCAGCTGTCCCTCCAATCGTAGAGGAATAAAGATACAGCGCAAACTGAAGGTAGCCGATGTTGTCTTCGGAGTGAGCATATCAGGGAAACGAGTTATTTAATAGTGTAGGCCTTATGTGGAAATAAGTCTCTCATAGCTTGCTCTCAGTTTGTTTTTGTAGATGGGTTTCCGCATGTGATATGTGTAAGACTTCAGGCGAGTGATCTTTGTACATGAAAGAACGGGTAAACCATGGTGGTACCTGCACTTCTGATGAGCTGCGCATCAGTGTGCTTAACTAATCATATTACCTGTGAAAGAGTCGGAGGCTGGTTACCTACCATACCGAGGGAAGGTAGCTAAGATCGGAATTTTTCCTGTTTTAGTCACGTAGCTGTAGTAGGTACCAGACCTAAGATATCTCTGATAATAGTCAGTATCTTTCAATTCAATTCAATTCAATTCAATTCAAAAACAACATTTATTTCCATACTTTCATTAAAATACGAATCAAGAATACACATAAAATAAAAACGAGCCATAAATACAATGCAATAAGAGAAAATAGAGAAAACTTTGGTTTTAGGAACAAGACTTAAAGAGTCATGATTTTACATGGTTTGAATTGGTTCCAGAAAAGCGAAACAAACGTTAGTATTTTCATTCTGAGGCGGGTGCAATGTTTTTGCCAATTATGCCTACATTGGGAGCCAGATGTTTTGAGTTTTGCAATGATCATGTGCCGCTATCCGTCTGTTGGAAATCGTTGTGTTATCCGCGAAATCCCTGTTCACGTATCGCTATGTGGGTCGTGTTTATATCTATGGAAATCTTTACAGCCACACACTATGAAGAGGTATGGATTAAAATTCATTAGAGCGGCTGCATTATCTTATCAAATAGCTGCAAAGTAAAAAGTCCATTATTAATTTTAAATGATTCTGAAATTAATTAATAAATTTGTTTAAAGACATAGAAATCTCGCCCCATGGTCATTAACCTTGGAAGTCTATGGACTCGGTATGGGTAAAGGTCATCATTTCTCCTTCTTTATTTGGAATTTTTGTTCAGGAGATTTGTAGCACTAACAAGGTTTGATGAGGATATTTTGATTTCTTTCCTCTGAAATTGTAAATCTTACAAGATGGTCCAAGAGAAGTTACAACCATTCAGGGATTAATTTTAAGTTGAATAATTCTGCTTGTTTACAATGGCTCACATGAATTCAACTTCAAGTTAGAACAGAAAGAGTAGCTGGAGTCCTGTTTCTTCAGAAATCCAAAACTTGCATTAATGCCATGGATCTACCGCCACTATACTACTAAAAGAAAAATCAATAACTTCTTTCCTCCAAGTTATTTTTTATTCCACAGCAATCCCGCTATATGGTGTAAGAACAGCAATTCCCAGGAAATATACGATGTCACTTATGAGCCAGATATTACTCGTGCTGGGCAGGAATATTTTACAGCTCTAATGAAGAAATTTAATCAGTCTGAGATGCCAGACTTTATTACGTTAGGACTTATCAGCATCCGAAAGAGATCCAGTTTAAAAATGCGCAGTGGAGGCCTTCCAACCAGGGCGCACGCGATGCGGATAAGTATGTAATGCATACGGTCCGTGTGTCCGGACACAGTGTTTCAGGGAGTTAGGACAAAATGGCGGATTGTACGACAAAGTGGGCTGTTTAAGAACCTTGGAAGGCTTAAGAGAAATAGTCATATAGTCCTTCACTCTGATCTAAAGTGTGGCCTGTTTTAATGCGCTTGAGAAGAAATCCAAACATATTTTCTGTACGGGAGATGTTTTGCCAGTTTTTCTTTCGAGGAAGCCACCCGGCTGTCGCAAAACCACCTGAGTCAATTTATATCAAAACAGAGAACACGAGGGAAAGCCCCGCCCTGGATCTATCCATTACGAGCACAGGGCGAGGGCTCGCCTCGTTTTCTCTGTTTTCTCCGAATAACGCAATCTACATGCAGAATTCGCAACTTGGCATGAACAGACAAAATGCCCTTTTAAGCTAGTTATAGTGGAGCTCTGTAGACAAATGACACTGCGTTCGATTTGGATGCTTCCATATTTATTTGAATAGATAAAATCAGAGAAAACATGCTTTCCTTAGAGGTGCTCTTTAAGTGGACAAAAATTGGAACCAAGACTGGTCATGTGTGAGGGGTATAGAAGCTGCAGAGGAGACTTGATTTTTATGGGAGGCTGAATTCAAGGCAGTAATTATCCTCTCACCGACGGGTAATGAAAACTCTAACAGCATACAACACAGAGTTCCCACAGCATGCCATAAGTCATCTGTAGACCGATGAGGTTCCTGATTGATACTTATAACTGATGCGATATCAGGCTAGGAGCCAATGGAAAACAAAACAAACGAACGAAAAAAAAGAGAAAGTTCTCAATAGTGACCGACTGCTCTCGCACACGGCATCAATTAATTGATTAATTCATTGAAGATATGGGGCATCAGCGAAGGTAGTAATGAATGTAAGAACAAACCTACCCCATTCACGATACTACATGTATATGTAAATATACATTGAACTTTACCCTTTTAATACTGTCTTTGTTTCCGAGGACAGAGGAATGAATCCTATCGTCACGACTCAGCTCTGAGCTAGGAGATCAAGTCATGTATAATAGATTATATCAACGTTTGACCGTAGCATTAATCAGGAAGCGCCATCTATATTTCACGCTTCATGCCTTAAGAATGAAAAGCAATCACGCATAATGGTGGCGTCGATGCCTGAGAAAAATTTAATGAAAACAAAAACTGAACGGATACCGAATACTATGTTACTGAACTAACAAGCGCCTAACGAGACGTTTATTTTAATCCGAAAACTGTGATTTATAGCACGTTTATTTTCCGTATAAATGCTTAATTTTCAAATTTATGCTGATGATCTAGGCCCTATACTGTCTTACTCGAGAACTTTCTTTACAGGGAATGAGATGTGAAAACGAATACGACATTATGCAGAAGTACCAAAATGTTTCCCCTGAGAAAAAGGAAGCTACAAACGCAAACGTGCACCACGAGAGAAAAACATAGGGGGCCGGTGAAAACGAGAATACTTTTGCCGCGTAAACAATACGACAAAGCCAGAAGATATCCCGTCCGTCACTCTGAACTCACCAGCGGCATGAGGTAACTGTCTTCGGGCGGTTTGTACTATGACTATAGTCATCGTGGTGCCGCATTATTTCCCTTGTCTCTGTGTCATGTCATAACAAGCCTCGGGAGAATAAATACACTGTGCCTCTTCCTTTGCTGACAGATTACACAAAATTAAAATAACCCAAGAGGAATTGTAGTTGTGCCCGTCAATAGCTGGGATGTCTTCACGCAACGGCATCTCGGGATGTCTTGTAAAGGCTCTGGCCCTTCGTGAGAGAAGAATAGAAGACAAGCTTGCCAGGAGCTACGAATTCAAGTCACCTCTTGGTTATTTTATTTAATGCAGGCCACAGAATTGTTAGACATCGACAAATGTGTCTTTTAAGACAAAGATAAATTGGTTAAAAAAAACATTTGTTTCCCTTGTGCTTTCAATTGCTTATTCTGCTTAGATTTTTCTCCCATTTCTTTGTCATAATGAGGATTTCAAGCATTGACCTTAGATTTTGTTTTGTTTTCGTTCTCTTGTGATTTTTCTGGCAAAAGATGGAGTTTTGATATTTTAGGTTTAACACTAACTTCGTCGTTTGGGATAAGCTGAGGTTGTGTTTAAGATCATTAAACTGTCAGCGGAGAAAAAAATACGGGAGTTATGCACGATGGAAGACGTCAGATGCATTCAATTTTATATGCTAGTTACTGAGTATTCAAGATTATACTTTTCATCAGATTCTGTTTAGAGTTAGGATAAAACGCATAGCGGCATAATAATAATAAAAAAAAATTCGGTGGACAAAATTGTGTGCTGGAAATCAATCTTTATTTATTCATTACATGCGTAGAGGAGACAGATCGGAGGAGGAGATTGTCTGGCGGAGGAAGTCGGTCCTTTCCACCCGAGAGGCATTCGGGAGGACAGGCAGCCCCTCTCGTCTGCGTCAACATGGGATATTCACCCGTCCCTCTACCGCGGAAATCAAGTCCCCGCCGCATTAAATACTAGGCCCCCTTGTCACGGTAGAATTTATACAGACTCCAGGCCGTAACATTTAGGAGAGTTGG